TAAAGTCAACACTATGGAGTAAAAGCCAAGATTATTATCAGATATATGCAGGTCAAGTCGGTGTGGACAGACGCTAAAGGCTAATATCACTATGGGTATGACGCTGTTATAAAAACAGACCTGTCAGGGAGTGTACTTTTTATATAATCTGTCCATTGCGGTTAATTTATGAATATTTTATATAAAAACATTTTTTGAAAATATCTATTTTGTCCAATTTCAAAATCAGTACAAATGAGTTAAAGATTAAGTTTAATATTTGCACTCTATTAACATCTGCAACAATAATTGAATAATACATCTTGAATGCATATTCACGTTCCTAGAAGGATATCTAATCACTAAAACATACACAGTAAAAACAACCAATACTGTTCTTTGTATCAAATACAACGATTGCTATTCTTACCTATGTACTATAGAAGTTAGGCGCTTTGATCCTTTGATTTAATAGGAACTAATAAAACTCTTGCATTGATATTCTGCTCCTGTTCCGTGGCGGCATATATTGATGTGCAATTATGCGTAGGATCTACGGCAACTGATTATAGACCTACGAATGTCATGGCAAACCGCACATATTTCCTTGGGCATTATCAATCCCTGAAAACCTAATCAGACGTCAATTTCGTGATTCGAGGCAAAAACCTGATTATCGTAAATCACATCTTTCCATTTGTGTTTGACGCACATACACATTTTTTGTATCAATTCCTTGTGGCAAAAATAGCCTTGGAGACATGTACTTGTCTTTATAAAATCAATTCCAGAATTTTGATTGATGTCATTCCAATTAAGGATTGCTTTTCATTTTCTGTACGTACATCTACATTGCGGTAACTACATATTGTTTAATCTTACGATTTTTATAAAACATTTAAAAACAAATAACCCCAAACACATAGTGAAAACAGCGGCAAGTTCATTTGAACTGATATTTTGTCTACAAAATAGTTCCGCAAATGATTATATTGATGTTTTTATTAACAATTTGCATATATCACGTGACATTATACCTATATAGCTGACATATCTCGTCACGTTTGTTTTAACCATGTTTAGATTCAATGCATATTTATTTAGATGCAAGTAAACAGTAACATAGCAAGTATCAACATGTAAGTATGATTACAATCCAAACTTAAATTCAACAAATCTTTGGCAAAATATAAACAAAAGAACGATTAACAAGGAGTCTTCGAAAAAATGTACATGGAGAATAAGACCAGGTGATCCGAAATGGTAAGCGTTATGTGCTTCTTCGACGACAACCGTCATGTAAATATTGGTAATTCCAAGAAAGTAATATCCGCCAGAATGATCTGTAGGGTTGAGAAATACAACGTTCTCTACACTATCACACCACTATCAAATATAGTGATCAATCATAATAATGCAGTATAACCACACTATAAATGTTCCTTTCTCAAGGTAATGTTTCCCTTCATAGGAAACCAAAATTAACACACATCCGGCACTCTTAATAATTATGTTGTGAGCATGTGTAGGTGTTGATTAAATTATATAGAACTATTCATTCATTTCCAAATACATTTGCGTATCTAACTACAACAAAATTAGCATTTGTCATTTACGGAGTACAATAAGTGCGGATTAAAAATTATATTAGCATAAATGTTAATAATGTCATCTTTACTACGACACAAATAATTTTTTTATTTAACATAAAACTTATATACCTTTCACAGGTATCAGCTAAGTTGATATTTCTAGTGTGCTAATTACAAACTAATGGAGGTTGAAATGCAATAAATCTGAAATGTATATTTGAACATATCCTACTTTATAATATCCATTGCTGCCAAGACTACAAAAATATTTCAAAGTAGCCATTTTGCTAGGAATTTGTTATATGTTCTTTTTAAAATCAAAACTAGAACGCAAAATACTAATTAGGTATAACGATAAATGCTGAGTATCTATAGAATATTAAAACGAAATTGCATCCCCAAATCGATTTCCGTGATTGAGCAAAAAATAACAAAAGTCTTTTCATTTTTGTTTGGTGACAGACATGGCTCTACTCCTCAGTTAAACTCATCCATCATCGATCATGTTCTTTCATAACAATATTGTAATCAACAACTCACTACATATAATGAAAGTCAATTTGTATATTTTTTTGTGTAATACTGAAGCAAAATGGATGATTGACGCCTTGCCGCTGCAGGGGAGAGTTTCATTTAATTGTCTGCACTAAATACACCTTATACCTTACAGCTTGACATTTTTTCGTAACGTTTAACAAACTGACCTCATCTTTGTAAGTGGATTTATCAAAAACATCTGACACATGAGTCATTGTTCCGTTAAATGGACCATTGTAAAAAGATGAATCCATTACAAATGAAATAATAAATTGGACTTTTTAACGCGCCCCACACGGTGTAGTGACAAAGAGGTCATTTTTATTATACATGCCTGTATTATTTGGTGATGGTATTGTGTGATACAGGGTTACAGAAAGTCTGCTTTAACGGATCACTTACATAATAATTAAAAATTTCCCTGGGAATCGTGCAAAATCATTGCGATGTTATAGCAATGAAATAGACTTTCATAAATAATTACAAAACTTGAAATATTATCTAAACACGCTAAGGAATGAAAAAAATATTTCAAAATCAGGTTACAAAAATAAATGTATCATTTCAATGTTGCAGCTTCACTGTTTTATAACTTATGTTTACCCCTGAACACAACTGAAAGAGGCGATTAAGCTTTCATAGAAGGGTGACAATGTCGATATTCACATTAGTTCAATATCTCCTAACCCATTCACGAAGCCTATATGTTTCGATTAATTTCGTTACGTGTCTCATGTTACTTCAGTTTTTAAAACACTCTTTTGATTATCAGAGAATAGCGACAAATATTATTTCATCGACCTTTGAAAAAAAAGTATGGGGATACAAAGAGAGTTTCTAAATTTGCATACTGGTGAATGTTTACGGTAGTTATCAGGATATTTTGAACAATAATCTTGATTAGAGCAGACGTTTTCCTAATTAAATGACCCGAAGAAAATTAGTATCCAAAGCTATTCCAGAAAGCAAATTTGATTAATACAAATTTTGTGATTATCGTAAGACCACATTAATCTAAATATAAAAAAATACGGATAATGTAGACGATAAGGTAAAGTACATCAGTCAGTAGTGCTTTGTCTGTACTTTTCAGTACAACCTCACGGACATTCCTCTTGTGTACTTTGTATATAGGGTGGTGACAGATGATTGGCTTTCCACACAAAGTGTTAGATATGATAGTGTCATCGGATTACGTCTGGTGATCGATATTCTTCACGTCAAATGATCCGAAATAGTTTTGAATCTTTTGATTATTGTCTTTACATAATCGTTCAGATCAACATCAAACATACGTATACTGTTGTAAAAAGCTCCGATGTGATCTACATTCTCTATGTCTAAAGTACATGTACGGTTAGAGCCGCAAAGTTCGGTGTATTCCGGTGGTATCGTTCTGGTCGTTAGTGGCACCATTGATAGATTGTACTACAAAACATATCTTTAATCTCAATGATACCATTCCTACGTTAAAGTCCTGTTGACATGATTAGTGTTTTTTTATTTTTGTTTTTGTGGATTCAGATCACTTCTATGTATTACAATGTAACGTATTCATAAATTGTACTTGTAGATTTGAATTGATTTTCTTTTGAGCTTCAAAATATCTATCATATATCCAACGATGATAAAAAATCCCGGGTTGTCCTTAAGCTGCGTATTTACCTTTTTGTGATTGTTTTGTCGAATTTTGTGGCACTAAAGTACATTTTACTGAAGAGTCCGACGGGAAAAATATGTCAGACGAAAACAACGAGACGTAAGCAGACAATGATCCGGGACGTTACATGGTCGTTTGTTATAGATATAGCTTACCCAAAGGAGTTTTAAAGTAAAAGTAACATATACAAAGCACGTTGCTTATAATACATTTATCTATGTTCTGTCAGACACATTGATAAATAAATATAACTGTGCACTTGACTTCAATTTTTGATTCGGTAAAGACACCTGTTAAATAATGCTATATGTAGTTAACATTATTAAACATAATCGATAATATTCTTTAAGGAACTGGCTATTCTATGTTTTGGTTGCAAGTATAACATAAACATTGCACTACTTTTATGTTGGCACTTTAATGTCGTTTGTACCTCCAATGTTTGATGAATTTTCTTATTTGCCTCACCTAGGAATGAAGGTATATTCTAGTATATTGTATAGCCGTGAAAAATTGCTCTTATTCTGTTCAACAAAATACAATAGAGGCGAAACTTTCGAGTGTCTTTTCTTTTTATTAATCTCAATAACATTTATAAAAATAACAGATTTTGTTCAGTCACACTAACTGTTGTCGCTAACAATCATTGTATAAGCATACACAATGTAACAAATTCGTATTTCCATGTGTATTTACACACATGTGTCAAGTTCATTAGAGAAAAATCATATTGTTTTTATCACTGATTGCATGTAACCGATAGTTGAAACAAACATCGGTATAATTCATTTCAGAGGTAATACACGCGTCAATGTAATGTATTCGCTATGATGGCTATTTATCTCACGTCTTCTACTCAAGAAATGTTACATAATAATTATTGTCTTCTTTTGTTTGAAGCACATTTATACCCATATACACATGCTGGAACACATCTGATACTTTGGCAGAGTTCAGCTGATTTTGAACCGAGTCCGGCTGACGCGAATTTCTGTACTATCTTTCATTCTGGTACCCCAGGCGGGAAATCGTTCCTCGCACCATAACCCATATGTCAGTTTCTAAGGAGCCACAAAAGTCCTGTTTTGTTTTTAAAATGTCCATTCTTTTGTCCTTTTCTAGAGGAAACGGATTTGAATTGGAATGTATCATTAAGAACAATTTTCATGTGTTCCTTTGTTTCTTGAAATTTCGGATCCTGCCACTTTGAAATTGGCTTAGGGGTTGAATTATTAGGAATGATTATACATGTTTCCACACATACTGTCATCGCTATCGGAGTCCAGCGAGTTCAAATCGTCCGTAGAATTTGCAGAGTCTGAAAATACAACAAAGTCAATTAGTAATTGTGTTATAAGAAACGCACATACAAGTGATTATTATAAAATCCCATTAGTCTGGTCAAAGTTATAACGTTTGACTTACATTCGTTTTTGATAATCATTCCCTCAGATAAGGAACTTTAATTATCAAGAGAGAGAGCTCAAATGATATATTTACCTTCAATGCTAGAGAGCGATCCACTTAGTTTTCCAGACATGGTTTGGTGGCTCTTTCTTTCCAAGACTGCGTCATCAATGTTCACAAAGCTCATTCGTCCGTTGACCAAAGCCAGTTTCTTTCTGAGTGGTTTTCCCGAAGTTCGTTTGAGCTTGGTCAGTGTCTGGATGTTGTCGTTGATGCACATCAATTGCTTCATCAACTTGACATCTTGTTGCCTCAGATCAATCTACAAAAGGCGCAATGTTGCAATATTAAATTAACGTATTCTGATCGTGGAATAAGGGAATGCAAGACTTATAAAGAAACATTTTCTTTTTGAAATAATTAAAATGGATTGTGTTACTTATGTCTAGCACAGAATAATTATCTATGAAAACTGCAATACTGCAAAAGTTATTTCTATTTAGATAATAGATATTACATACCATGTCGCTCCTGAGTGTAGCCAGGGCACAGTTGATTCTGTCTGCAGAATTGATGTTGGAAGTTTGTGCAGATTCCATGTTAACTGTTGTTGTAGAAATGGTTAGGCGTGTTGGGTACCAAACTAAGAAATGATTTGGCAAATATTTTCACGCCTTTATATACGGACCCCTCGTCTCTATGGGGCGGTGGAATCAAGTGCAATCGACTGAATACTAAACCACACACACCTGGCACAGAAGACATACACCACCAGAGAGATATCATTTACCATTGTGACAAGTTAGGTATGTGTTAAGATAATCAAAGCAAAGAATTGTGTTCATATCTACCTTATAGATGGTGTTTGATATATAAACCGTTAGTCGTTGGTTCCACCACACACAAATCCTCTAAGGTAAGGAACAGATGTATAGATAAATATATGATACATTGCCCTCCCTCGGACATTGGACATGACATGTCTAACGTAGTGAAGACACTACAGGATCATTAACTATCATAATAATGAAGAAATGAGGATAACTAATGTATTAAAATGTAAAGATACAACGATACAACTTCTGTTATTTATTTGACAGGTCATGCAATATTACTGGAACAAAGTGTTAGAGGGAAATGCAACAAAGAACAAACTACTTGAATTTATAGCAATATGATAAGCATACACTTCAAGAACTATTTAAGTGAAATACCTTAGAGCTGATCAGCGCTTCCATTTGGAATTAAAAATTTCAATGAGATGACAATATCATGTAACGATCTTCATATGACCATTTGCTTTTTCAAGAATGCATTACATAAATGTGACATCTCAAAATGTTTTGATCGCATTACAATTGATGTAGATTGTATTAATTTATAACAAAACCCTGACTTAGTTAAACTTGCGCCTGTTTTTTTTAATTAGGAGAATGAAAGGAAAATAACCTTTAAGATTTCAAGCGAAAGCTACAATATAAATCATTTTACTTTCAAGACGAATTTAGCACTGGGCAAATGCGAAAGTTTTTATGGTAATGAGGGTGAAATAGCGAATTTATCCCTGTATACAGTATATCAACACTATCATTGACAAGACAGTCAGCTGATTGATATTATCAATGACTATCCTGCCATGGTTTTATTTCATAAATCCTTTTTGCTTTAATACCTAAAGGCTATGTATGAGTATGTCTATGGAACATTGTTTATTGTTTATATATATAACAAAACAGGCTTAACTATTGCCACATCACTTTGTACTATTATACTCAATGTAGTAGACTATAACACTAGAATTCTCACCAAGTCTCCTTAAAGTACAAGGTACGCCACTGATTGTTAAACATGCCTATTTCTATACACATACTGTTCAAGTTCAATGCTGTACAGATGAAGCGCTGCTGATAAGTTCGCATATATAATACATTGTATACTAAAGATCATCAACAATATACATGATAGATATTCCAAACAGCGTTAAAGATAATCAGTTTGAACGCATTTTGTGTTTTGTTTTTAGGATGAACTGTGCACTTTTCGTAAGATGTATCGTTGTACTTTGTGTATATATTGAATATGTGTTTTCTTAGTATAAAATCTATTGAATGGAGAGGAGAGGTGACGACGAACTGATGAGATGAAATGCATTACTACATATAGACACCTTTGCCCGGTATGAAATGCTTTATTTTACTAGTGTATCAGTGTGTTGACATTTTTATGATGCAAATTTCAGGCAAATTAACATGAACTTTTTGAATATCAAACACAAGCTACGTTAGTCGATTTTTTTTCAACAAACAACAACAATGATAATAATAAATGGATTTAAATAGGCGACATAAAGACAAAACTTGTTATATGATTTCCTAAGCGTATGGCGTTGATAATTATAAATATAAATTTAATGCATGTCTCACGTTCTAGACTTGCGATGATTTATTATAGCAACCTAATTTACGACAGTTGTTGTGAGCAATAAATTTTACCCCAAGAGTTTTGTTCACTTATCATTTCAATACAATCCAGTCTAATTCAAATCACATATTTCAAATACTTCTTGTAAGCTATTGTCTACTGAAGTAATGAATGGCTTTGGACACGATTTTAGAGAATGTTTTCTTAATTATGGCAGGGAATTGTGTGTCAATGTATGGCTGACACATATTCACAGCAAGCTATTGCTTTTTATGAAAAAAATGAAAGTATTATTTAAATACCACAAAACGTCTATACATCAATATTTTTCCAAGGTTGACATGTGTATCAATCTTTCTTTATTTAAAACTTCATTTCAGTAAATTCGTAAGAACAGTGATTGAATACAATGACAATCACTTTCTTTACATGCTTTTCATAATGAACTGAACAATACTTCAGGGTAACATGGACAAGTAAGTATGACATTGCACTAATTCTCTTTAAGTTATTCATATTAGTGTGAAATGCATGTGAAATATCAGATGCATATCAGGAAAAGCCTTCGGTTCTACCGCACAAAAGATAATTTACAGATACTATCTTTCTCTGACATAATGTTTGGCACTTGGCACTTGACGAATGTGCTGTAGGTTTATAAGCGTATAAGCGATTTCACTAATGAAGAGGTAATGGTTAATAGTGTTTAGAATGAAATAATAAAATATACCAAACTTCTTGAAATTTATGCATACTTATAATACGCAAACATACAACTATTCTGTGCTTATCGAAATACACTCTATCTTCTTTTTGTTTTAACAAACTATTGTACTGAATCAGTCAGGACCAGTAACCAAGTTACATTAAAGTACAAGGTACGGCATTAACGGTTAAATACGCCATCTTAATGTGCGTGCTGATCACTTGTCGGACAATGCTGTATAGATGAGGCAATGGTGATAAGTAGGCGTGCATAATACACAACATACCGAAGATCCTCAACAATAGACATGATAAATATACCAAACGGTGTTAAGGAATAATCAGTATATTGTGTCTGTAATAGTCCAGGTTGCATTTTAACACTATATGATATATAAAATGTACTTTAGATGGTGTATCCTGAATGGACATATTGCACTCTACCAGCAAAACAACTAATGAATGGATACGTGGGTGATGCCATCTTTCTACAATATAGTACATCCTGTTTGTTTTTTCTCAAACATGATCGCATTGCAGTGGATGAAATTATGAAATATCATATTTGACCTTTATTAACAATTTATCATATGAATACAGTTACCTTTTGGTTAATGTAAATTTAATTCGAATCAATCTGTATTCTCTCGAAAATAATGGTAGAAAATTACAGTAATGAAACTGTTACTGTAATATTTAGATTTCATCATAAAAACAAACTTGTATGGTTTATCATGTCGTTGACAATTATTTACATCAATGTACTCCGTGTCACAAGTTTTAGATTTGCGGTTCTTTATTGTAGTAACGTAATGTATCACATCCTTTTAAATAATTCTTTATTCAAAATTGTGTTTGCAGAAAACTTTAATGAAAATAAAAACTGCTTCCAATTCAAATTGCTTCTTGAAGTAATGAATGGCTTTGAAAGAGTGTTTAGGGGATATATTTCTTAATCAAGAGAAGAAATTGTGTGCCAATACATGACTGAAATGAAGTTGCAGTAGATTATTGATTTCTCACGAAATTTGTATAAGAATGTAAAAGTATTCCTATGAATGCCACAAAACGTCTTCACGTCATTATTTTTCAAGATAACATTGACATATGCATCAATTATTTTGATTAATTTGTACTCTGATATGATCAGAATTTAATTTGTTTGTTTGATGGATCTAGAAACCAGTGAAAGTGAAAAATGTCATTGTATTGGTTTTCCAAAGACAAGCAACTTCTTTATATGAATTATGAAATGAATTGCACAATACTTAAGGGCAGAGTTGACAGGTGAGTATGATATAGCACAATTGCGCTTAAATTATACATATTAATGCAATCAGTGAAACGCTTGCCATAGACATATAAGATGAATATCGAACATATTTTATACTGCTTAAAATCCTATCTAACCTATCTTCTTCATATAAATGATAGATACTTTAAATCCATCTATCATTTATGTAGAACTTCCAGAAATAACATGTTGATGGGTAATCTATCACTGATGGTGACATTTTGATAACAAAAAGTATTACCATAATAAATGACTGCATAAGGTTAGAAGAAAAAAATGAAAAAAATAATGCTCTAACTGAAATAATAAAAGAAAATGAAAGGGTTCATGATGACGTGTAAACCAAACAGCATATTCTATTATAATATTATTAAAATTTCTATTTTCTTGTGAAACATGTATCGGGACTTATTTGATGTTCGTTAGTTTGCCTGTACTTTGTTCTCATTTGAGGTCGAGACATTACCTGCTTGGATTGACCAAGGTTTATATGTTTGTAGAGGGTGTCGTCGGGAAAGAAGACCCCTTACTCTTCCGGAACACCTGGTCTTTTACTCCTTGTACTTTATTAGGAGTTTCCGTGAAAATCTTTCTTTTGTTCATAGTTTGCCCTTGTTTGATCGACTTTGAGTTTGGATTATGATTATTTTAACATGTTAGTTTTTTTTTTATTTCTCTGTATTGCGTATGCAATGTAATTTCTCTTATCTAATCAAATGAAAAGGTAATGAAGCAAATATGAATAAGTAATAGAATGATGAATTCAACACCACAAAAATTGTTTCGGTTACGGTTTCAGGCGTTTCAGTCTCTCTTAAAGAACATATTGGTAGTAGATATAATTTACTTAACTATTTACATGGGTGTTTGTTTATTTTCTATTACTTTAATCTTATTTATTCATTTTATTGATATTAATTACAAAGTCGGGGTACTAAATAGCTTTTGACACATAATGTAGAATTGTGAGATTTCGAACATTTTTCATTTTAAAATGGCGACGAGGTCACATGTGTGATTAACAGACTTAGCCAGGTGATATTTGACAATTGATACAAAATCTCTATATCTCTACCTAAAAAAAAAAAACCAAACAAACAAACAAAACAAAAAAAAAAAAAAAAAACCAAACAAAGAAAAAACAAAACAAAACAAAAAACGTTCAAGTTGTACAGGTAAATGTACCGGTTAATAGTAATTGGTCATTTGGCTGAAATTCCACTAAGATAAAACAACAAAGGAAATAACGACACGCTAACGGAACCTGAATTGAAACTCAAGATCTATAAAAATGGGGCAAATATGGACAAAAGACAGATTTCCGCGAAGACTCATGAAAAGTTCTAGGAGTGTAAGCGTCTTCTGCTGCATCGACGACACCCGCCATGAAAATCTTGGTCAGTACAAGTTAGCTATGTCACGCTCCCATATGAAAACAAGGTATACAACAACGGAACCTCCAGGTATATTAACGAACACCTTAAGTCCTTATTCATATCGCACAAGGTAATGGAAGGTTTACAATGAGAAAATTAACTTAGAGATCAGACCGCAGGCAGTTTAAGGCGAGGTTATTTTGCATTAAACACTTCATGATTTATAAGGAATTTTTTTTATATCAAAACGTTTACAAAATTATAAATTATGTCTGTATTTACCATATGTATTTTTAAGAGAACAATAATGATAAAGAATGTTATTTTTTTCATCATGTGTAGTAGTGTGATTGACAGTATGCCATCGTAGGAGTGTCATCCACCCTTGGAATATTATTTTCCAAGGTTATCTCCACAACCGTTTCCAAATATTTTAATTAATTCGTATTTCTATATCAATTGATCATAATGGAAACATCAGTTATTGAAAATATTGTTAATATATAACTTTACCCCCTCGATGGAACGGAGCATAATGATGAACGGATTCTTTTCATACACATCACAATGGACAGAAGGCCATAAGATGGTTCCGCTGACAAAGGAACATGACTGTGCAGATTCAGTTTTAAAGGAGCCATGAAAAGTACAAAGCTTTAAAGATTACATGCAGCTCTACTCATCTAACTAAAGTATACAATTATTATTTCTGATGAATGTGCAATGTAAAGCTTCATCAAAATCGTGGAAGACCATTAGAGTTATATAGACTGATTATGAACTTGATAGATGTTGTGAGACATTCTTCCTTAAGAAGAGAGTTACTTTTATTAAGCGCAAAAGTAATATGAAAATATAGACCTGATTCCCCATCTGTACTCATATTCGGTTCCCCCTCTATTCTCATGCACGCCAATAATGATCATTATCTTCCACAGAAACCAAATAGGAATTATTCATGTATATAACATGAAACGTACAGGACACCGGGCACTGATAGAATAACTGAAAAATCATTGCAGTTACAATGTAGTAAATATTTGGATATTGCTATTTTTTTTTTACTTTTTAAACATTCATATCATTTGAACTTCGTAATAGATGTCAGACAAAAAATGTTTCGTTATAGTTGTCATCTAACATTGTTCATTGAATAATGAAGACCGGGTTTATGTCGTTGTGTAATGAACAAACACAGCTGATAATATCATTAAAACATATTTATCAGCAAAGGATCGTTATGGTCTGTACCGTAAAAGACTGACATATTTGTTTTTTGTTGTGATCAAAGCACACGTGTGCTGAGGTCAGATCCAGATATTTCGTATATTCGCTTGTCGGTATATGTAGCGTTAAAGATTCCGTTGGTAACGACACACCGGGTAATTACAGGATCATACAGTGAAATGTAACACCAAATTTACATTCCAATTGATAAAGAAACATCGATTGCAATTAATTTCATTAAAACGTTTTTGCCCTCAGAAATAATTCACTTATAATTAACGTTGTTACTTTTATGAAACGAATTCTTTGGGAACTTTGTTATTGAAACCGGTAATCCGCTCTTACATATATTGTTTTTACTGCACGTGATAAAAAACCCTTCAACTCATTTGGAAAACTAGTTCTTACTTTGGTCGAGTAATTGTAAAGACAAATAAGATACCAATTAAGTGATATTGTCCTAAATCGGACAAATTTGTGTCACCATCCTGATAATTGTTGTATTAAGACTGTAACTTTCTGTTAGACATAGAACAAGCGAAAAAGCTCTCTCGCTGCTTTATATAATATTGTTAGCAAATTAACAAATTCCGCATGTAATGAAATTGAATCCAACTTTCTGCAAAAAACAATCTGCAAATCAACCAGTCTAGCCCATAGCTCCAGTCCAAATATGCTAAAAGGACATGAGACGTCTAGATCATGTACTTTTACAGTATATTACAGTTGCCTATTACAGAAAAATCATCTCTAAGATACAATGATTATAAAAAACAATAAAACCCATTTTTGAGGTAAAGTTTTATTATCTCAATAACAGTATAAAAATAACAATTGTATTTCAGTCAATTGACTTCTGTCGATAACAATAAAAATATAACCATGCGCTGTCAAACACATTCACTCACTTTTAAACGTCTGTGCGTAATCGCACTTGTGTCAAGATATCTGCAATCATACACATTTAAGCTATACATAATAGTTCATAATCGATTGTGTTAAATCGACAGTCTGAATTAAAGTATAATAATCAAGTAAATCTTATTACATTTATAATCCTTTTCGTAAGACTTTTACGTCTTGTGTTTTCTATGGGCAAAACCCTTCGTCGATTTTTTTAAATGGATTAAAGATTTCTATAAGTCGTTTTCCATTTTTTTCATAAACATTGTTAGAACACAAATACACTTTTGGCAGAGTTCAGCAAATGTTCCTATATACAAGACATAACTGTCTTAAATCACGTCGAAATGTTTATCCTAGTGATGATCATTAAGTATGGGTTGTCCTTGAACAGGTTAAAGACAGTTCGTTTCCCAGGGTGATATTTCTGGTAAATTTTTGGTAGCATCATCTAGACGATGTTTCTAACATAGTGTATATTGTTGGCATACACATTAAAACCAGCTCCATATCTAGTTTATATCAAAACATAATTTTTAAACATTATCCAGCAACTATTTGAAGTGTCGTGTGGTTTTACAGATCTTCGATGTGGATGAACACACAATTTTCTCCTAATGGTTATGCATGGTTCCACACAAACTGTCATCACTATCCGAATCCAATGAACTGAGGTCTTCTGTGGAGCTTGAGGTTTCTGAAACAATAGCAAAATAAATATGTTATATATATTCTTGCCGTGATGATATTAACTCCAAAAAAAAATTTTTCAGGTACGACAATTTCAACTTCTGAAATAGCACTAGCACATGAATTTTAATGAATCTTGAATAATTACCTTCAATGCTGGACACAGATCCAGTAAGAGTTCGGGACAGGGAACTTCGGTTTTGTCTTTTAGTGGTGAACTCATCGACATTTACGAAAATCATTCTACCATTGACCAGAGCCAGCTTCTTCCTTAATGGTGTGTTAGAGCTCCTTCTTTTTGATAGCGTCTGGATGTTATCATTGATACACATGAGCTGCTTCATCAACTGAACATCTTGTTGTCTGAGGTCAAGCTGTAAATACCAAAGGTAATAAATTAAGATGCTGTTTCAGATTACGAGTGAGTGATATATATTTCCAAAGGGAAATAAATGGATTTGAAATTTGGGAAAAAATTAAACCCAACAATCGAATTGCATTATTCAATATATGATGATTACGATGATCATTACGATCAAGTTAATTACCATTTCACTCCTGAGAGTGGCCAGGGCACCATTTATCCTGTCAGAAACGCTGGTTTTGGATGTTGTGTGAGCAGATTCCATTTTAAATGATTTAGTGTGATGGACGTAGCTGTAACGTGTATTCGGTGACTAGGCGAGAACTGATTAAGGCTTGCGTTGTTAAGTCGTTATATACCAACCCATTGTCACGGGTAGATGACTGATCACGTGATGTTTTAGCCGTACGCTACCATATGCAGATTGGTTACACCAGTGGCTTTGTGTCCTGGTGTGACGATTAACTGGTTATAGGGTTACAGATTAAACCTATAGATGGTATTGAATATCTAACGCAGGATTCCAACCTTATTCAGTAGGTTCTCCTGCATAGACCAAGACACCTGGAATTAAAGAAATGAAATATCCGTGACATGACAGAAGGAAATACCAGTGCTACTTGGTACTGGTTACCTTGTACTTGTTCTGGGGTACAATTTCGTGGATCCCTTTACAGTACTTCTATTAAGATGACAATTTATTTTCCGTTATAATGTGTGTAATTGCAAGAATTATGAGATATTAGTCAATTAGCATTCTTTTGCTTTTTGGTTTACGTAATGACGTTATTAATATTATTTGCAATATGAATAAAATTGCTGTGCTTCGGTCAAATGTTATTTGTAATTTGAAATAAAGTTAGTAATGTGCTTTAAACGAGATACAAGTAACAGATATGTATGCCTGACGCACCATGACTATCAAAATGATTTATGAGATTCCTTTCATTAAGTTTAGGTTTGTATAGGCAATTTTGTTACACATTTAGTTGTTTCTGGCTAACAATGTAGAATGTTTATATATGCATCTGAAAGCTATCTGACAAAAAATATATGTAATCTATGTATTTAATAGAAGCCCATGGTTTAGATATTTAAACATTTTAGATACTCATTATATTTAAATGGCCAGTGATAAAAATGTAATAATAGTTCAAATTCGTACATTACATTTTTTTCATGATTAATATTTAAAGATATATGGATAAGTGTTTTCCAATAATCGTCGTTTACATTCCACAATTATGATATATGCAAAGTTAGAACTAAACAGACATTGTTTGAACAAAATTGACATCTAACTTCAATGTTCTTTATCCTACATTTTTAAGCTCAAAAAAGAAAATCGGAAAGTAATCTTTGTTAGAAAACGAGAAAGATTATTCCGAAAATGCTGACGTCATATTCTACATGTAATGATGTTGCGATCGAAAACGAAATGGTACCGTTTTTGTTTTTTTCCCGAGGAGTGATAATGTTTCCTGTCGTTATTTTGCAGTAATTTCTTAGAAGTTTTAATTTCGCAGTTATTGTATGATGGAACTTTACGTTGCGGGTAGTTTATATCTTGCGAAACTTGACTCCGGGTAGAGATCAATTACATGTGGAATGGGTTGCCTGTTTATGATTAACTGACAATGAGTTACTATTTTTACATGTCTATTGTGTAGATTGTGTTTGATAAAGTATCACTGCAATATTACAGTTATTGATAAGATCCCCCGCTCCCTATGTTTTTACATTGGACACCATGAAATACATAAAATTCATGTTTCTTATACGGCAGTCAACGATAACCCAAATATATCAACATAAAGTGGATGCCACTACCAGCGAAAGTCAAGCACTGTCGTGAATTACCCCTACAATGATTGATATAGTAATATAAAGGTTGTTTTAAAATGGAAACTGTAATGACACAAAGGTCAGCGAGAATGATAATATAAGAAATATCTGTTGACATATGGTGCCCTATAAGTTGACTATTAGTTTAAATATTCAATAGTTATTGCAATGCTAGTGAAGTTATAATGTGCGTGTATTTTGTGAGACATGTTGTACGTCAAGCCTGCATCAAATCTATCTAATTTAGGTTCGAACAAATCAAATATTTATTATGCACACTATCGATGATTAGCTACTACAAAATAAAATACTGAGTATAAACTTCCATCAATATATCCTCATTATATCTCTCAAATGGGACAAATGTCTCAACTGAAGAATTTTGAATATATAAGATACAAACAGCTAGAACCAACTGGTTGAAATAAACATTAATAATGGGAAGTGTTGAAGGATATTCTGGATTATAAGTATTGAAATAAAAAAATGGTTTTCTTTCGTTTTCTTCAGTCGCCATTGATCAGCAAACAGTTCGATAATCATGCGTACAATAAAAACACAAGAATATAAAGGTTCCTTAAATTTTTATTTAAATTTGTAACAATGTATATAGGTATTGCAACATTCCCTTCACTTTCGCTTTTGTGCTCATTTGTTGACTTTAATCTTTTAGACTAGAATTAAGTTTATAAATTATGTTCTACTTCTGCATTCCACTTACACATTGATTATAACATTAGACAATTAATTTCCATACGATTATACAATGCCATTTTTATCAAAGATATACATTGATATGAAGAATTATTTACTCTCCTCATCACTCAAATATGTAACTACTGCGTGTATTTTCTTATCAAACACTTCATATAGACGTTACGCAAATGTTCCAACTTTCATACACATCTATGCCCTGTGAACACATTGAAAGAAATGTCTGGCAGTATTAGGCGAATGTCATTTAATTGACAAACGGTGTCTCCTTGTAACGTAATGGAAACAACGAATAAGTTTGAAAAGTGTTTTTGCTTCGATTGAAGAAATTGATATATCATTGGTAACAAACTTTCGATGTTTATCAATATTTCAACGCCGAATCCTCTTCATAAAAACCTGTCAGTATGTTTATTTCTAAACCATAATTAATCCTTGTCCAGCAAGGGAAGAACCACGAGGTTGTGAGACTAGTGTTGGTGATACGTTGATCGTAAAAATGTTTCTTTTTCTGAGTCATGATACTATTCGTTGAGAGTCCAACAAGTCGTAAACTGTTCTATTGAACCAAATGAATTAATTTTCAATACCAGTCAGGCTTTCATCACTGTCAGAGTCTGCTGAACTCGATTCTTCTTCTGGAATCGATTCACTTCGGTTGATGAATTTTCGTCGTCCGTTAATCGTGTATTTCGTTTTTCGTTGCCTTCCAGAGTAAGGCCTTCGTTTGGTCAGCGTCTGTATGTTTTCATTGATCGACATAAGCTGCTGCATCAGCTGGACATCTTGTTGTCTGAGGTCAAGCTGTAACGATAAAAGTACGAATTCGATTAATTTTAGAAACAAAACAAAATCAAAAATGCTCTAATCTCAAATTACAGAAACAATAATGATTTTTAAAAAAATAAGAATTATTTAATAATTACCATATCACTCCTGAGTGTAGCCAGGGCACTGTTGATCCTGTCAGTAGCACTACTGTTGGATGCTGTCGGTACGGTTTCCATTCCTATAATTGGTTTATATGATATATGATCAATCCTCGATACAAGAAGATCAGTGTCTGTTTGAGGACTGATCAGGATTTAGTTTTCCTAAGTATTTATACATATCTGCCTTCCCTATGAGGGCTACGTAACATTGCGTGTGGTTTAATGTCTGCCAAGTACCTCCGGTGAGATATCAGTTACATATGGCATATGCTGACTGTTAATCATATAATGACAAAGCTTGATAACTTATTTTGAATATTAATTGTTTAGATGGTGTTTGATCAGACACCAATATTACTGCAATTTTACAGTAATTGCTATATTCTCAAAAATGCTGATCGCAATCGATATACGATGTTCTAGGAAACATGTATTTTTTTCTCTGAACAGAATGAACAAAATGCGTGTTTTTAGCATGTTTTAAATCAGATCAACCCGATAATAATAGATATTCTTGGTCTCTACATACATACGCAAATTTAGCATTGCCGTTGAGTAATACTCAATAAAATGCGCAATAGTATCTGTTAACCTAAAACTAGAAATGCTAAAATAGACAAGACCTCCTATTTTATTGTAGTAAGAAATACAAATTATTTTGATTGAATTTTTCATGCACAGCATTAGAAATAACAATTACTTGGTCTGGTTAGTAAGTTTACCTTCTGCATTCTGCATGCATTCACATTCTGAAATGTTAGTATACCTTGTAGTTATCAATTGATATCTTATCCCCTACCTCGTCTGTTTTGACGCCTCCTAACCATGAAATGAATGACGCATTTAGAACTTACAGGACAGGAAATAGATTACAAAGATTTCGATATGAATTCCTTGCCACAACATAGCAGTGAAAGTCCGCATATTGTCGTCACTATTTGTTTGTTATTTATATACAAATATGGTGTGTTATATTGAAACAGTTGTAAAACAAAAAACATTGAAGTGCATAATATTACAAATTACATCAACTATTTTGAAATTATTCATACTACAAACCATCAAATTCCTACACTGTTGATAGTCTGTAAGCTTCCTGCTCTGTCGGTGATTCAAATATATTTCCTAGTATATTTCCTATAAGTGTGTTTATTGGATTAGTGAATATATAATATAATTTGTTTGCGACGTTTGTAAATATGGTCTGTATTTAAGAGTTACACAAATGCATAGTACCTTTCAATGCAAAGTTCTTATTTAGATGTTTTGTGTACAAAATAATGCATGGATTAATGAAAGATCCCAGTCAACTAATTGCGCGATATATTAGCTAATTTTTGTTGTATTTATTTCTGCCCTAGTACGTGTAAAATGTTACGATTTCTGAAAACTGTTTTAGGCTATATCAAAGTCAACTTATTTGAGTAGAAATTATCAAGAATAGATTCAGTATTGTCGGAATCAAATAACAACACAGATGTTGTAATTCGCATTCTTTACTTATCAAGCTATGTCGAAATGATTTTCTCTGTTCATGACCAGCCCAACTGCGATAATCATGATAAAAAAAGAGAAAACAAAAAACAAGAAAAAAATCGATTCATTTTCATTTTAATTATATTTGTAACAATGTAAAAGTAAATATTGCTTTTGTCCCTACACAAACATTCCTATACACATCTTCTCACAACCATTCTTTAAACACTTGAAAATTAGAAAGAATTTTCTTGTTCTTTCCGGATTTCACATTTGTACTAATATAAAGCTACAGGTTCTTTACACACGACTCTATAATACAAAATCATAGTCTATCAAAGTTTCATCCACTTCTTGAAAAAAATCACATGCAGACATGTGCCGTGACATGAGTTGCTTTTTGTGCGTGTGAAGTATGATCACATTCGTCAACAATGGATTGTGTCACTACCTGCCATACTAACATTTGAAAGACCATACTTTCCAACATACATACATATGTTAATCTTTTCACAACCTGAACACAGTGATATACATATATGGCAGATTTGAGCAAGTGTCATAGAACTATAGTTCTGTCTCAGTTTGTCATTGCAATTGGAGAGAGTCTGTTTTGTACGTATTCCATTGAATAAGTTAAAGACAATGTCCAGATCATCAGGAAAACTATTTCTTTGAAATGTTCAATTAAGTGATGTTTCCTCACAGAATATCTTATCGCGCTTAATCATATTACCGAATTCCATTTCCAAATTACGCTATATCCTTTGTCCAGCAAGGGAAGAATCATGAGGTTGTGGGACTACTATTGGTGATTCGATGATCGTTAAATGTTTTTTTCTTTTCTTTGTTATGATCATATTCGTTGAGAGTTCAACAAGTCGTAAACTGTTCTATTAAACCAAATGAATTAATTTTCAATACCGGTCAGGCTTTCATCACTGTCAGAGTCTGCTGAACTTGATTCTTCTTCCGGAATCGATTCACTTCGGTTGATGAATTTTCGTCGTCCTTTAATCATGTATTTCGTTTTTCGTTGCCTTCCAGAGTAAGGCCTTCGTTTGGTCAGCGTCTGTATGTTTTCGTTGATCGACATAAGCTGCTGCAAAAGCTGGACATCTTGTTGTCTGAGGTCAAGCTGTAACGATAAAAGTACGAATTCGATTAATTTTAGAAAAAAAAAAAAAACAAAACAAAACAAAACAAAACAAAAACAAAATCAAAGATGCTCTAATCTCAAATAACAGAAAGAATAATGATTTAAAGAAAATAGGAATTATATAAAAATTACCATATCACTCCGGAGTGTAGCCAGGGCACTGTTGATCCTGTCAGTAGCAGTACTGTTGGATGTTGTCGGTACCGTTTCCATTCTTATAATTGGTTTGTATGATATATAATAAATCCTCGATACAAGATGAGCAGTGTCTGTCTGAGAACTGATCAGGGCTTTGTTATCACAAGTATTTATACCTGTCTGTCACCCCTATGAGGCCTACGTAACATTGCGGGTGGTTTAATATCTTGCATAAAGAACTTGTTATATTAGCCAAGTACCTCCGGCGAGGGATCATTTACATCTGGCACAGGGTGACAGTATATCATTTAATGACAATGGTACGTGGCTATTTTTGCATGTCTTTTGTTTAAGTGGTGTTTTATAAGATGCCAATGTTACTGCCATTTAACGATGATTGAAATTTTCACCAAAAGTTATGTGCTATTGCTTTTCGGAATTTATGTATGGCGTACCAGGAAACGGGTCGTTTTTATTCAGCACACAATGAATGCATGATATGCATGCTTTGATATTTATACAGCAGATCAATACAAACGAATACTTTTACTCACTAACTACAGATGTCAGTTCAGCTCTGTCTAATTTAGCGTCCAATCAATTACGTAAACGTAGCTGTTATCTTAAAACCGGAGAGTATAATATTAGGCAAGGTCGTTGTTTTAGTGTAAAGCGTCCGAATGACCTTTCAGTTGACGGTGTTCACTTTCTACTCCCATTCTTAACCTGCACTATGTAAGTTTGTTATTCATGCGTGGTATCTGTCTCGTTCCATTTCAAATTGTGATTGATTATATCATCAAATCCCAAAATAGGTCCGTTAATGTTACCTCCTCCGATTTGCTTCTGTTACTGTTAATAATGTTTTCTTTGGGTATGATGGCACATGACGTGACAAGAAAGGGTATTATACAGATAACAACAAAAACTCATTTAGGCTTGACGTTTATTTTATTTGGATCATCATTACACACATGTTCTGTAGTTACGGCTTTGAAACCAACGTCCTTCCCGCAATGGTGAAAATGAGCATGTCGTGGTTTTCTCCTCTTGAATCAATTGAAGTCCTTAATAACGAAGAAGCGACGAAGGACTGTGGGTTGGTAATGTCTTATAAAAGCCACCTGTTGTTTTAGCCAGGAGCCTCCGTGGAGAGATCAGTTACATACGGAATTGTGTCATTATAGATCTGATATTGTCAATGTATTACCATTGTTAATTATCAATTGTATAGATGGTGTTAGATAAGGTATCTGTATTATTACAATCCTACAGTTATTGATATGTCCCCCCTCTCCCGCCCTGCGTCCGAGGTTTTTAAACTAGACAACATGAATTATATGACGTTCATGTTTCTAATATGACAGGAGACGACATCCTTGATACATAACAAAAGAATATTTCCCACTACATACAAACGAGAGTTCAAAATTGTCATTATTTTACAATGATTCATATAAGAATAAACATTGTTTTGTAACGGAATTGTAATGAGTTCATGATCTATAATAAAAAGAATATATTTGAGTGTCTATTTACACAGAGCAACACAATATCATTTCTTTTGACGGTTTTATGGGTCCTGTTGTTTCTGCATATATAATGAAATTGATAGTTTAGATGTTCGAAATATACGTTTTTGTGCTGCAGTTAGTGTGTTTGTTGCAATGCAAGTGAAACTATAATGTATATGGCTTATGAAGCATATTGTGTAACAAGCACGTATCAAATATAACAAATCTGGGCCCGAACAAAGCAATGTAATTCTAGCGCGATATATTCCATGTCCTATTCTCGATTATTAGCTAGAATAGTGTTCATGCTTAGGATGAACTTTAGAATCTGATATTCAATAGAGCTTTTAAATAGAAAAGAAGATTTTTCGTTCATTGTTTAAGCCGAATTTGATATTGTTTAAAGAAAAAACATTTATTATTTCATCTAATATGTGTTGAATGTCTCAACTATTGGCCTTAGAAGAGATAACATACAACAGTCAGAACAAATTGCCTGAAGTAATTATTAATCACAGGAAGCGTTGAGAGATACTCTGGATTATGAAATGAAATCAGGAAATGTATTTGAAGCCGTGTTTCTATGGTTCTCTTCTGCTGCCGTTGGTCAGCTATCATTGCAATAATTATGCGGTAACAGATAACAAGAATATCAGAATTTCTTTCATCTTTATTTTAATCATTTTTATAACAATGTAAAAAAGTATTGCAACTTTCCCTTCCCAATCTCTTGTACACACTTATCATATACTAAAACCTAATATTACACTATTGTTACATACTTCATATACTCATCATTTTACTCTGAACACATCGTTAGAAATGTCTGGCAGAATTGGGCAAATGTTTCATAGTCTACATCTCTTATTCCGTTAAAGGAATACCGTATGCGTTTGAACGAAATGTTGTTATAATTATCGGTAACAAACTTTCGATGTTTATCAAAGTTTCAACACCGACTCATTTTCCTAAGAATATGCCACTTCGTTCATATCGTAATCACAATTAATCCTTGTCCAGCAAGGGAAGAATCATGAGGTTGTGGGACTACTATTGGTGATCCGATGATCGTAAAAAGTTTTTTTCTGTGTTATGATCATTTTCGTTGAAAGTTCAACAAGTCGTAAGCTGTTCTATTAAACCAAATGGATTAATTTTCAATACCGGTCAGACTTTCATCACTGTCAGAGTCTGCCGAACTCGATTCTTCTTCTGGAATAGATTCACTTCGGTTGATGAATTTTCGTCGTCCTTTAATCGTGTATTTCGTTTTTCGTTGCCTTCCAGAGTTAGGCCTTCGTTTGGTCAGCGTCTGTATGTTTTCGTTGATCGACATAAGCTGCTGCATCAGCTGGACATCTTGTTGTCTGAGGTCGAGCTGTAACAATTAAAGTAAAAGATCGATTAATTTTAGAAACATCAATAAAAATATCCAATAGTTTAGATACGAAATAACGGAGAAACAGAGAATTAATGGAAAAAACATCTAAATAATAATTACCATATCACTCCGGAGTGTAGCCAGGGCACTGTTGATCCTGTCAGTAGCAGTACTGTTGGATGTTGTCGGTACGGTTTCCATTCTTATAATTGGTTTGTATGATATATAATAAATCCTCGATACAAGATGATCAGTGTCTGTCTGAGAACTGATCAGGATTTAGGTTTCTTAAGTATTTATACATATCTGCCTTCCCTATGAGGGCTACGTAACATTGCGTGTGGTTTAATATCTGCCAAGTACCTCCGGTGAGATATCAGTTACATATGGCATATGCTGACTGTTAATCATATAATGACAAAGCTTGATAGCTTATTTTGAATATTAATTGTTTAGATGGTGTTTGATCAGACACCAATATTACTGCAATTTTACAGTAATTGCTATATTCTCAAAAATGCTGATCGCAATCGATATACGATGTTATAGGAAACATGTATTTTTTCTCTGAACAGAATGAATGAATAAAATGCGTGCTTTTAGTATGTCTTAACACAGATCACCCCAAAATGATAAATATATTCTTGGTCACTACATACATACGCAAATTTAGCATTATCAATAAAATGCGAAATAGTATATGCTAACCTAAAACTAGAAAAGCTAAAAATAGGCAAGACCTCCTATTTTATTGTAGTAAGAAATTCAAATTATTTTGATTGAAGTTTTCACGCACAGCATTAGAAATAACGACCACTTGGTGGTCTGGTTAGTAAGTTTAACTTTCTGCATTCTGCATGCATTCACATTCTGAAATGTTAGTATATCTTGTAGTTATAAATTGTATCTGTCTCATTATTTATGATTGATTGTGTGATCAAATTTTCTTGTTGTCTCCGTTGAGTTTTTTCCGTTACCGTTAATAATGTTTATTGTGCGTATAAGGAGCTTGAGATTTGAAAACCATGTGTATGAACTAGAGAAGAACACAACGTACTATATCTCATTGATGTTTATTTCAGGTACTTTTCTAAAATCTCCCTCACACACATAATCAATATTAACGATTATAAAATCAAACATCCCTCCCTTACGATACCTGGTATGAATTGAAGTTATTGACAAGAGAGGCAACGAAACATTGCTGGTATTATTTGCATATAAAAAGCACCTGCTGCTTAACCAAAGAACCTCCTGGAAGATATCAATTACATTTGGCACAAGTTGAAACTATATAATGTACTGACAATGTATTATTAATGTTACATGTTTGTTGTTTACACCGTGTTTGATAAGGTATCTATATTAATCCATTCTTACAGTAATTGATATCTTATCCCCTACCTCGTCCGTTTTGACGCCTCCTAACCGTGAAATGAATGACGCATTTAGAACTTACAGGACAGGAAATAAATTACATAGATTTCGACATGAATTCCTTGCCACAACATAGCAGTGAAAGTCCGCATATTGTCGTTACTATTTGTTTGTTATTTATATACAAATATGGTGTGTTATATTGAAACAGTTGTAAAACAAAAAACATTGAAGTGCATAATATTACAAATTACATAAACTATTTTGAAAACATTCATACTACAAACCATCAAATTCCTACACTGTTGATAGTCTGTAAGCTTCTTGCTCTGTCGGTGATTCAAATATATTTCCTAGTATATTTCCTATAATTGTGTTTATTGAATTAGTGAATATATAATATAATTTGTGTACGACGTTTTAAATATGGTCCGTATTTAAGAGTTACACAAATGCATAGTACCTTTCAATGCAATGTTCTTATTTGATTTTTGTGTACAAAATAATGCATGGATTAATGAAAGATCCCAGTTAACTAACTTCGCAATATATTAGCTAATTTTTGGTTATATTTATTTCTGCCTTAGTGCATGTAAAATGTTACGATTTCTGAAAACTGTTTTAGGCTATATCAAACTCAACTTATTTGAGTAGAAATTCTTAAGAATGGATTCACGATTGATGGAATCAAATAACAACACAGATGTTGCAATTTGCATTCTGTACTAATCTAGCTATGTCGAAATGATTTTCTGTTCATGACCAGACCAACTGCGATAATCATGACAAAAAAGAAAGAGAAAACAAAAAACAAGAAAAATCGATTCATTTTCATTTTAATTATATTTGTAACAATGTAAAAGTAAATATTGCTTTTGTCCCTACACAAACATTCCTATACATATCTTCTCACAGCCATTCTTTAAACACTTGAAAAATTAGAAAGAATTTTCTTGTTCTTTCCGGATTTCACATTTGTACTAATATAAAGCTACATGTTCTTTACACTCGACTCTATAATACAAAATCATAGTCTATCAAAGTTTCATCCACTTCTTGAAAAAAATCACATGCAGACATGTGCCGTGATATGAGTTGCTTATTGTGCGTGTGAAGTATGATCACATTCGTCAACAATGGATTGTGTCACTACCTGCCATACTAACATTTGAAAGACCATACTTTCCAACATACATACATATGTTAATCTTTTCACAACCTGAACACAGTGATATACATATATGGCAGATTTGAGCAAGTGTCATAGAACTATAGTTCTGTCTCAGTTTGTCATTGCAATTGGAGAGAGTCTGTTTTGAACGTATTCCATTGAATAAGTTAAAGACAATGTCCAGATCATCAGGAAAACTATTTCTTTGAAATATTCAATTAAGTAATGTTTCCTCACAGAATATCTAATCGCGCTTAATCATATTCCCGAATTCCATTTCCAAATTACGCTATATCCTTTGTCCAGCAAGGGAAGAATCATGCGGTTGTGGGACTACTATTGGTGATTCGATGATCGTTAAATGTTTTTTTCTTTTCTTTGTTATGATCATATTCGTTGAGAATTCAACAAGTCGTAAACTGTTCTATTAAACCAAATGAATTAATTTTCAATACCGGTCAGGCTTTCATCACTGTCAGAGTCTGCCGAACTTGATTCTTCTTCCGGAATCGATTCACTTCGGTGGATGAATTTTCGTCGTCCGTTAATCATGTATTTCGTTTTTCGTTGCCTTCCAGAGTTAGGCCTTCGTTTGGTCAGCGTCTGTATGTTTTCGTTGATCGACATAAGCTGCTGCAAAAGCTGGACATCTTGTTGTCTGAGGTCAAGCTGTAACGATAAAAGTACGAATTCGATTAATTTTAGAAACAAAACAAAATCAAAGATGTTCTAATCTCAAATAACAGAAACAATAATGATTTTAAAAAAATAGGAATTATTTAAAAATTACCATATCACTCCGGAGTGTAGCCAGGGCACTGTTGATCCTGTCAGTAGCACTACTGTTGGATGCTGTCGGTACGGTTTCCATTCCTATAATTGGTTTATATGATATATAATAAATCCTCGATACAAGATGAGCAGTGTCTGTCTGAGAACTGATCAGGGCTTTGTTATCACAAGTATTTATACCTGTCTTTCACCCCTATAAGGCCTACGTAACATTGCAGGTGGTTTAATATCTTGCATAAAGAACTTGTTATATTAGCCAAGTACCTCCGGTGAGATATCAGTTACATATGGCATATGCTGACAGTAATCATATAATGACAAAGCTTGATAGCTTATTTTGAATATCTTTTGTTTAGATGGTGTTTGATAAGACACCAATATTACTGCAATTTTACAGTAATTGCTATATTTTCAAAAATTATGCTGCTATCGCTTTCAATATACGATGTTATAGGAAACATGTTTTTTCTGAACAGAATGAATGAATAAAATGCGTGCTTTTATATTTAACACAGATCAATAATAAATATATTCTTGGTCACTACATACATACGCAAATTTAGCATTATCAATAAAATGCGAAATAGTATATGCTGTTATCTAAAACTAAAACTAAATAGGCAAGACCTCCTATTTTATTGTAGTAAGAAATACAAATTATTTTGATTGAAGTTTTCACGCACAGCATTAGAAATAACGACCACCTGGTGGTCTGGTTAGTAAGTTTAACTTTCTGCATTCTGCATGCATTCACATTCTGAAATGTTAGTATATCTTGTAGTTATAAATTGTATCTGTCTCATTATTTATGATTGATTATGTGATCAAATTTTCTTGTTGTCTCCGTTGAGTTTTTTCCGTTACCGTTAATAATGTTTATTGTGCGTATAAGGAGCTTGAGATTTGGAAACCATGTGTATGAACTAGAGAAGAACACAACGTACTATATCTCATTGATGTTTATTTCAGGTACATTTCTAAAATCTCCCTCACACACATAATCAATATTAACGATTATAAAATCAAACATCCCTCCCTTACGATACCTGGTATGAATTGAAGTTATTGACATGAGAGGCAACGAAAGATTGCTGGTATATTTGCATATAAAAAGCACCCGCTGCTTAACCAAAGAACCTCCTGGAAGATATCAATTACATTTGGCACAAGTTGAAACTATATCATGTACTGACAATGTATTATTAATGTTACATGTTTGTTGTTTACACCGTGTTTGATAAGGTATCTATATTAATCCATTCTTACAGTAATTGATATCTTATCCCCTACCTCGTCTGTTTTGACGCCTCCTAACCGTGAAATGAATGACGCATTTAGAACTTACAGGACAGGAAATAGATTACATAGATTTCGACATGAATTCCTTGCCACAACATAGCAGTGAAGTCCGCATATTGTCGTTACTATTTGTTTATTATTTATATACAAATATGGTGTGTTATATTGAAACAGTTGTAAAACAAAAAACATTGAAGTGCATAATATTACAAATTACATAAACTATTTTGAAAACATTCATACTACAAACCATCAAATTCCTACACTGTTGATAGTCTGTAAGCTTCTTGCTCTGTCGGTGATCCAAATATAATTCCTAGTATATTTCCTATAATTGTGTTTATTGAATTAGTGAATATATAATATAATTTGTGTACGACGTTTTAAATATGGTCCGTATTTAAGAGTTACACAAATGCACAGTACCTTTCAATGCAATGTTCTTATTTGATTTTTGTCTACAAAATAATGCATGGATTAATGAAAGATCCCAGTTAACTAACTTCGCAATATATTAGCTAATTTTTGGTTATATTTATTTCTGCCTTAGTGCATGTAAAATGTTACGATTTCTGAAAACTGTTTTAGGCTATATCAAACTCAACTTATTTGAGTAGAAATTCTTAAGAATGGATTCACGATTGATGGAATCAAATAACAACACAGATGTTGCAATTTGCATTCTTTACTTATCAAGCTATGTCGAAATGATTTTCTGTTCATGACCAGCCCAATTGCGATAATCATGATAAAAAGAAAGAGAAAACAAAAAACAAGAAAAAAATCGATTCATTTTTATTTTAATTATATTTGTAACAATGTAAAAGTAAATATTGCTCTTGTCCCTACACAAACATTCCTATACATATCTTCTCACAGCCATTCTTTCAACACTTGAAAATTAGAAAGAATTTTCTTGTTCTTTCCGGATTTCACATTTGTACTAATATAAAGCTACAGGTTCTTTACACTCGACTCTATAATACAAAATCATAGTCTATCAAAGTTTCATCCACTTCTTGAAAAAAAATCACATGCAGACATGTGCCGTGACATGAGTTGCTTTTTGTGCGTGTGAAGTATGATCACATTCGTCAACAATGGATTGTGTCACTTCCTGCCATACTAACATTTGAAAGACCATACTTTCCAACATACATACACATGTTAATCTTTTCACAACCTGAATACAGTGATATACATATATGGCAGATTTGAGCAAGTGTCATAGAACTATAGTTCTGTCTCAGTTTGTCATTCCAATTGGAAAGAGTCTGTTTTGTACGTATTCCATTGAATAAGTTAAATACAATGTCCAGATCATCAGGAAAATTATTTCTTTGAAATATTCAATTAAGTAATGTTTCCTCACAGAATATCAAATCGCGCTTAATCATATTCCCGAATTCCATTTCCAAATTACGTTATATCCTTTGTCCAGCAAGGGAAGAATCATGAGGTTGTGGGACTACTATTGGTGATTCGATGATCGTTAAATGTTTTTTTCTTTTCTTTGTTATAATCATATTCGTTGAGAGTTCAACAAGTCGTAAACTGTTCTATTAAACCAAATGAATTAATTTTCAATACCGGTCAGGCTTTCATCACTGTCAGAGTCTGCCGAACTCGATTCTTCTTCCGGAATCAATTCACTTCGGTTGATAAATTTTCGTCTTCCGTTAATCATGCATTTCGTTTTTCGTTGCCTTCCAGAGTAAGGCCTTCGTTTGGTCAGCGTCTGTATGTTTTCGTTGATCGACATAAGCTGCTGCATCAGCTGGACATCTTGTTGTCTGAGGTCAAGCTGTAACGATAAAAGTACGAATTCGATTAATTTTAGAAAGAAAAAACAAAAACAAAATCAAAGATGCTCTAGTCTCGAATAACAGAAACAATAATGATTTTAAAAAAATAGGAATTATATAAAAATTACCATATCACTCCGGAGTGTAGCCAGGGCACTGTTGATCCTGTCAGTAGCAGCACTGTTGGATGCTGTCGGTACAGTTTCCATTCTTATAATTGGTTTATATGATATATGATCGATCCTCGATACAAGAAGATCAGTGTCTGTCTGAGAACTGATCAGGATTTTGTTTTCTTAAGTATTTATACATATCTGCCGTCCCTATGAGGACTACGTAACATTGCGTGTGGTTTAATGTCTGCCAAGTACCTCCGGTGAGATATCAGTTACATATGGCATATGCTGACTGTTAATCATATAATGACAAAGCTTGATAGCTTATTTTGAATATCTATTGTTTAGATGGTGTTTGATAAGACACCAATATTATTGCAATTTTACAGTAATTGCTATATTCTCAAAAATGCTGATCGCAATCAACATACGATGTTATAGGAAACATGCATTTTTTTCTCTGAACAGAATGAATGAATAAAATGCGTGTTTTTTTTAGCATGTTTTAAAACAGATCACCCCGAAAATAATAGATATTCTTGGTCACTACATACATACGCAAATTTAGCATTGCCGTTAAGTAATACTCAATAAAATGCGCAATAGTATATGCTAACCTAAAACTAGAAATGCTAAAATAGACAAGACCTCCTATTTGATTGTAGTAAGAAATACAAATTATTTTGATTGAAGTTTTCATGCACAGCATTAGAAATAACGACCACCTGGTGGTCTGGTTAGTAAGTTTAACTTTCTGCATTCTGCATGCATTCACATTCTGAAATGTTAGTATATTTTGTAGTTATAAATTGTATCTCTCTCATTATTTATGATTGATTCTGTCATCAAATTTTCTTGTTGTCTCCGTTGAGTTTTTTCCGTTACCGTTGATAATGTTTATTGTGCGTATAAGGAGCTTGTGATTTGAAAACCCTGTGTATGAACTAGAGAAGAACACAACGTACTATATCTCATTGATGTTTATTTCAGGTACTTAGAAAAATCTCCCTCACACACATAATCAATATTAACGATTATAAAATCAAACATCCCTCCCTTACGATACCTGGTATGAATTGAAGTTATTGACAAGAGAGGCAACGAAACATTGTTGGTATTATTTGCATATAAAAAGCACCTGCTGCTTAACCAAAGAACCTCCTGGAAGATATCAATTACATTTAGCACAAGTTGAAACTATATAATGTACTGACAATGTATTATTAATGCTACATGTCTGTTGTTTAGACGTTGTTTGATAAGGTATCTATATTACTCCATTCTTACAGTAATTGATATCTTATCCCCTACCTCGTCTGTTTTGACGCCTCCTAACCGTGAAATGAATGACGCATTTAGAACTTACAGGACAGGAAATAGATTACAAAGATTTCGGTATGAATTCCTTGCCACAACATAGCAGTGAAAGTCCGCATATTGTCGTTACTATTTGTTTGTTATTTATATACAAATATGGCGTGTTATATTGAAACAGTTGTAAAAAAAAAAAAAAAAAAAAACATTGAAGTGCATAATATTACAAATTACATAAACTATTTTGAAAACATTCATACTACAAACCATCAAATTCCTACACTGTTGATAGTCTGTAAGCTTCTTGCTCTGTCGGTGATTCAAATATATTTCCTAGTATATTTCCTATAATTGTGTTTGTTGAATTAGTGAATATATAATATAATTTGTGTACGACGTTTTAAACATGGTCCGTATTTAAGAGTTACACAAATGCATAGTACCTTTCAATGCAATGTTCTTATTATATGTTTTGTCTACAAAATAATGCATGGATTAATGAAAGATCCCAGTTAACTAACTTCGCGATATATTAGCTAATTTTTGGTTGTATTTATTTCTGCCCTAGTGCGTGTAAAATGTTACGATTTCTGAAAACTGTTTTAGGCTATATCAAACTCAACTTATTTGAGTAGAAATTATCAAGAATAGATTCAGTATTGTCGGAATCAAATAACAACACAGATGTTGTAATTCGCATTCTTTACTTATCAAGCTATGTCGAAATGATTTTCTCTGTTCATGACCAGCCCAACTGCGATAATCACGATAAAAAAAAGAGAAAACAAAAAACAAGAAAAAAATCGATTCATTTTCATTTTAATTATATTTGTAACAATGTAAAAGTAAATATTGCTTTTGTCCCTACACAAACATTCCTATACACATCTTCTCACAGCCATTCTTTAAACACTTGAAAATTAGAAAGAATTTTCTTGTTCTTTCCGGATTTCACATTTGTACTAATATAAAGCTACATGTTCTTTACACACGACTCTATAATACAAAATCATAGTCTATCAAAGTTTCATCCACTTCTTGAAAAAAATCACATGCAGACATGTGCCGTGACATGAGTTGCTTTTTGTGCGTGTGAAGTATGATCACATTCGTCAACAATGGATTGTGTCACTACCTGCCATACTAACATTTGAAAGACCATACTTTCCAACATACATACACATGTTAATCTTTTCACAACCTGAACACAGTGATATACATATATGGCAGATTTGAGCAAGTGTCATAGAACTATAGTTCTGTCTCAGTTTGTCATTGCAATTGGAGAGAGTCTGTTCTGTACGTATTCCATTGAGTAAGTTAAAGACAATGTCCACATCATCGGGAAAACTATTTCTTTGAAATGTTCAATTAAGTAATGTTTCCTCACAGAATATCTAATCGCGCTTAATCATATTCCCGAATTCCATTTCCAAATTACGTTATATCCTTTGTCCAGCAAGGGAAGAATAAGTCTATTGTAAAATCTTGAAACTGGTGGTGATGATTGAATTTTCGCATAACAAAGTTCTTTTTGGAGAGATTAAGAGCTCAGCAAGTCAGGTGCCTAACTAATTTTCAATACCGGTCAGGCTTTCATCACTGTCAGAGTCTGCCGAACTAGAATCCTCTTCTGGAATCGATTCACTTCGGTTGATGAATTTTTGTCGTCTGTTAATCGTGTATTTCGTTTTTCGTTGCCTTCCAGAGTTAGGCCTTCGTTTGGTCAGCGTCTGTATGTTTTCGTTGATCGACATAAGCTGCTGCATCAGCTGGATATCTTGTTGTCTGAGGTCAAGCTGTAACGATAAAAGTACGAATTCGATTAATTTTAGAAACAAAACAAAATCAAAGATGCTCTAATCTCGAATAACAGAAACAATAATGATTTTTTAAAAATAGGAATTATATAATAATTACCATATCACTCTGGATTGTAGCCAAGGCTGAATATATTGTGATGATGTTGCCAAATTTAGAATAAGATAATGATTAGGAATATGAATTATACAATAATTACCATATCGCTCCTGAGTGTAGCTAAGGCACTGTTAATCCTCTCAGTAGCAGTGCTGTTGGACGGTTTCTGTACAGATTCCATTCTAATTCTTGTTTGTAAAAGGTATGGTAAATCTTTGATACTAGTAGATCAGTGTCTGTTAAAGAACTGATCGGATTTTTGTTTTGACTCATATTTATACCAGAATTCCAATCTGATGTGGTCTAAATAAAATCGGTGTGTGGTTTAATATTCTGAAATACAAAGCACCTGCTGTATAAGCCAAATACCAACAGAGACAGATCAGTTACACCTGGCGTAGGTAGACTATGCTATGTAATGTTAATTTATTCATATTCCTTGCACATTAACTGTTTTGATGGTGTCTGATAAGGTTTAACTATTGTTATATTTAAGACCAATTTAAGAACCATGTGTGAGATACACCTAATCTAATACCAACAGGGGTTTGATACCAACACGGAGAATTCGTCTCCACCACCCTGGTCGCCTTTGTTTATAACGAAGAATGACAAAGTTTCTTGATACAACCCCCATCGTTTGACCACCAACATCCATTCTACACTAATTCATGACATGTCTTTATTGTTATCGATGCATTAACATAACTAAGTATTGCTTGTCAACAACACATCGATATCAATAACCCACCAATCAACGGAATGCAAAAATTCTCGCTGATGCGGAAAATTGAAAGGTCGACCGAAGTTAATGGAAAAATTTTCTGAAATGGCTGTCAACACAGCAACTGCGTAATCAAAGGGTGCTTTATATGATATTGATATCATCTGTAAATGTTTTATTTTTAGAAGTATCCAAAACAGACAAAATTACTACATGATTACTGCAGTAAGAAAATGCAAGTAAAAATAAGACAGAATTGATTTTTGTTGTGATCATATAACTAAGAAACATAAATAGCTTTAACCTTGGAAACACTCTGATCTTGTGAAATATCTAACTCGTTATTTCAAAAACGTGATCATTTGCAGAATCGAAACAATCCATTGTAAACGCATGCATATATATGACTGAACAATACCGCGGTAACGTTGTTTCAAAAGTTCTGTTATTTTCATTTGGCATTACCACTTTCCAGATGCAAGACACAAGTCAGCATAATCCAAATGTATAAATCTATGGTTAGATTTGAAAATGTCAGTTTATTTTAGCTATGGTTATCGAAAATTGATATCAATAATTTTTCTTCATGAATTCATTGTACACGCTGGCTTTGACCATTGCTTTCGATCTGCAATAGTATTGATATATAATGATTCAAAATATTTGTTTTAAAGATTACCTCAGCATGATGTCTTCTACTTAGAAATATGATACTGTATTGATTAAGTATAATGATTGATATTCGGGCGTTTATTTTGGCCGACAGCCGACCCCCTTAGTAGCGGTGTGCTACCGAAATATTCCGGCAACAGATGACTATATTAGGGCTAATTAATTTTGGATCAAATTACATCATTCTGATCTTCTACACGAGGATTTTGAATCTTGCATTGCTTTGGTTAATATGTAATAAATCACTATCCTTTTATATACAAAACGTATATCTGTTCTTTCAGCACATAATATATTTTTTATAAATAATCATGTTAATCAATTTCTTTATGCAACTTTAAATTTTAAGTAAATTGAGTTTTAAAAGTGAATTTGTATGGTTAAATCATTATCTGCTCTTGACTAATAATATCATTATAATTATTATAAAAATGAATATATAAAAATGAATTTTGTCATAGTCAATTTGTCGTCATTTAATTTTGAATCATTCGAATAGTGACGGTTCAGAATATACACATATACTCGATAATGTTCTTACATTATCAAACATACGAAAATTATGAAATTTATTGAATTTGGGGCAAGTGACCTCTCTATCTTCATTTTAACATTTCTTTTAGCCATTTGAATTTTCTTCATTCGGCTCTAAGGCTTCAAAATGAAGACCCTTAGCATCGCTTACAAGTCCTAGAAAGACGAAACAGCCGCATGATGCAGTTTAATTATTGTTTGGCTCTTCTGTATCTAACTCTTAAGTGGTATTAACTGGTGTTTTTTTCTTGTGTGTCTTTTTTACAATCGTTTTGATTGAAGTCAATTTCCTTACTTTGACTATTTTATTGTTGTATAAACATTTCGAATAATGCAAGTCCCAGGTAGGTCAAGGGGAATCATATAATAAAACTATTTATAAGTTATTTTGACATTTAATAGACAGCAATTCGAGTTCATACAACGTGATGAAACTCATGTAGGTCTTTACAATAATTGCTCTCCGTTGGGTTAATCAAAGACTGGTAGGATACAATGGCGAGATAAAGCAGCACATTGTGTGTTAAGTGGTAGATGTCAAGTACCAGAGGTGAGAACACAATTTCCAGACGTGTGGTACATCTGAACAAACAAAAAATGATTTAATGTTGTAGTTACTCTCTTTCATTACTTTGCGGGAGGACCAACCCCTCCTGTGTGGATCAACTAGAACTTATCAAACACCATCTATTTCCTTAACATGGAACATCATACCTATTTTATATTTACCTGATACACAGGTTACCTGTGATCCAGGTGTAACCGATACCTCCCTGGTGGTAGTTAATCTTTCTGCCAGATGTTTTTATTACATGACAGAAACCACATACCAATTTACAATTACCCCACGTAAGAAAACGGGCGTGTATATAAAGGCTTCACATGCGGAATTAAACTAGTTCTTATTTTGCTACTGTATGATAATACATCTAAGCTTTTACCGAATAGTTATCACTACTTGAAGGAAACATGGAGTCCGTTATGACAGAAAAATCAAGCGATAGGATTAATAATGCTTTGGCAACACTGAGGAGCGAAATGGTAAGTATTACTTAATAATGTATAATATATACATAGAAAAATGATATTTTGACGAAAACACTACACAATAACTCACTCTAAAAATATTAGCTAACTGTTAGTGAAAGAACTATTTAATTTCATACGATTTTTTTACGTTTCAGCTTGACCTCAGACAACAAGATATCAAGTTGATGAAGCAACTTGTGTCCATCAATGATAGCATCAAGTCATTGACTAAACGGAGATCAAACCCAGGCAGACCAATGAAAAAGAAATTTTCCTTAGTTAAAGGACGACGAAAATTCATCAATCTGAATGAATCTATTCCCGAAGAAGATTCCAGTTCAGACAGCGATGATAGTCTGTGCAGTACCGAGAATGACATGTAGAAACGGAGTTCAATAGACGCCTTAGGACTAGATGAAACCAACCCTATATCTGAAGAAAGCCAGTCCCTGAAATAGGAGGACGATTATAGGATATGAACATAAACCAGCATGAAGAAAAATGAAGGTAAATATCAGAAGGAATAATGGAGAAAATGAGGAAATGTGTAAAACAGAATTTTGAGAATAGCGAAAAAAAGAATAAGATAAATGGTATAATTGAACGTATGTATATCAATGTTACATTCTTTGTTACGATATACATGTATTTCATATTCAATCTTTTTGTCATTTCAGATTTTTCTGCCATAGATGTTCTGCTCTTCTAGAATTTAACATCAAACATCTAACACGATAAGAGGTTTACGCAACCAATCTGTGCATCGTATAAGGAAGAGCTGATGATGAGAATAGTGAAGACATTGGACGATGAAGTATCACCAGAGAGTGCTATAACACTTAAAAAAACTCCGAGTTTTTATCACTGTGTTCCTCCACATTTAATAATGGAAAACGTTAACATCGTGACAACAACCAAGACATTTAAAAGGGAGGATATGACTTTAAACGACGCACACTTAAGGTTTATGTTTAAAGCACGCAAACGTTGGAGAGAGCGTTTAGGAAAAATCCACCAATGGTTTTCAAATATCTATCGAACACTTAATATATTTCAGTCTTTCATTCATCTTATCTTCGTTCAGATTTCCTGAATACCCGATAGGTGTTTATATGAAAATAATATAGTAGTGTACTTTATACCTGAATGTATGTATATGTGTGTGAGAAAATGTATTCAAGATAAACGTTTGATATCTTAATTAACGGAATTATAGAAATCAAGTGAGGACACGTTAGCATTAACATATTAATCGTTAAATGAAAAGAAAATAAAACAACGAGAAGACTGAAGTTCATACATATGCTGAGTTAAGTGTGTTCTTAATGCATTCAGTGGATAAACGTGCTATGTACATGAAACATATTTTATGAATGAGATCGTGAATGTCAATCAATGTCAATATCATCGTGTGTAAAACTGAGTATAATTTGTTGCATGAATGTTATTTTCTAAAGGCAAAAGGGCATAGTGCAATTATATTTTAAAAATAAAAAAATGTATTTATTAAATATTCTGTTTGCGTGTTTTATTTCTTCATTGCCTAAAGACAGTATGCAGAGCTATCAATTAAAAGATCTGTTTTTGTCTAACCATGTGAAATGCAAATCCTGTATTGACCTGGGACATTGTCAAAACGGAGTAATATTATACTTATTTTATAAAACACTGTAGCTTTAGTTTGTTAAAACATGTATCTTCAGGAAGATAAACAGCACCGTTCACGATGTCAATGGCATATAGAACTATAACAATAAATCCAGGTCTTAAAACTGTTACACAATGTTCTATCAGATGATGGAATACTGGGTCGTAGTAGACTTATATGTAATGTAAACAAAGCACGTGATGGTAAAGATGTAGTTCAAAACCAGGTCTTTTATTTTGAAAGATCCCTTAGTCGATAATTTGATGAAATAACATTGGACAGGTCGAAGATTTATGAAATACAAAGGACAGTTGGTGTATGTTAGGTACAATGTAACAGTGCGACATTCAGGACAAAAGACAAAATCAAAAGAATAACGGCAAAGGTTATACATGAATGATAACTTGTCGTACCTGAGGACGTGTTTACACCTTAACACTAATAATTGTATTCTCTTATAAAAAAACAATGTTTGTTATTTTGACCATATAAGGCTTTTAAACTATCATTGAACTTAAAGGAAAATAGTATACATCGATGTACACAGCAATGATAAGAGATACAGACAAACTGTCAGAATCAAATATATTGCAAACACGAACATAATGATAATACTTTTGTATTGTTTGCTGAATGTGTTAACGCTAAATAAAGTTAACTAGTCTTGGTGCCGAATTTTTAACAAAATGTTTAATGTTTTATTTTACAGCTACTAAGTGCCAAGCACATTCAATAAAAATCAATCAGTTGATGTCTTTTACAAAGTGTAAATTGAGCGACGTTCAAATATTTCAAGGCGATTTTTTTCCGAAAGCGATAAGAAATTTACTTTTGATAGACAGTTTTCTCATTTTGGCGGTTCATATTGAAAGATTAAAGAGGTAGGCTATGACATGAGTAGGTTTTAACTGATTTTGGCATGCAGTCGTATATTTCGCCTACGCAGCGTTGCTACCAGTGATACCACAGTGTTACATTATAGGGATGGAAGACGTAGATACACTTAGATGAATCATAGATAATTGATCTTAATCTATATAAACAATAGATTGTAACCTTATACCTGTTTACTAATACCATATTATCATTATACCATGTTATCTGATTTGCATGAACTACAAAAGATCTCTCTTTAGCTGTTAGAAGTGTTTAAAAGCTGCTTTGTTTCTAAAGTTCGGTATTCCAACGCCCACAAATGTTGCAAAGCACCACGTGATTGAGACAACGGGTATATAAAAGAATAAAAAATGCCAGCATGGTTATTTTAAACAGTAATACCTGACAAGTGCATATGTTTGCATCTACGACACTCCTTTAAGTCGAAGGATTGATAAAAATTAAGTAGGATGGATTCTTTACTGACAGCAGCTTCAACAACTTGTTCCTCAACTGAAAGAATAAGCAATGCTCTTGCGACACTCAGAAGTGAAATGGTAAACACCTTTTGTATATTATTCCTTTATTTTCATCATATTGATTACTAGATCTGATTCGTGTTAACACATTTTTCATCCCTTTTTTCAATTCTAGCTACCTTTCTGTCTCTTATATTTTAGCTAGACCTCAGACAACAGGATGGACAGTTGATGAAACAGCTATTGTGTATCAACGAAAACATCAAAAGCTTATCTAAACGGAAGCCAGTTCAAAGAGGATCTCTCAAGAAAAAAATAAATTTATTAAAAGGACGACGGAGATTCATCAATCGGAATGACTCCATTCCAGAAGAGGACATTTCACTCATGAAACAACGGGAAGATCAAGATGTCATGACCATTTGCAGCTTGAACACTACTTTGAGTGGATCACTGTCCAGCATCGAAGGTAAATTAGGATGTTGCATTTTCAAAAATATCCTTTGCTCAATTCTATCAATTGTCTAAGGTGTGAAATCATATAAGAAAGGGGATAAATGTAATTATTTGTTTTTTCTTTTGTAATGTAATTCAGTTTATAGGATGCTTAGTCTCACAGTTCGCAATCTGTGTCCTTTCAGACGTATCCAGCTGTAAAGAAGACTTGAGTAGTGCTGATTCCGATAGCGACGACAGTATATGTGGAAGAGAACCGAATATTTAGATACCTTTTGCAAACACGTTATGAACGAACAACGTGCGACCAGACGACGGTTATAGAACCAAAATTAACCATACAAACATTTTACTTCAAAATCAAATGTCTTTACTGACGTATCTGTGATAATATACCGTATATTTCATCTTTTACGGGTGAAATTGACATTCTTTCCGCACGTATTTCTAACCGTTAAATCAGTGACTATTAATAATTCACAACTTAAAATCGATGGTTTCAATATTGTGTTCCAAATTCTATGCTGGAAATCAAATTGAAAGCATTCCATTCACCTATAACACCAATGTATCTGGTTTAATGTTGTCTGACCTATATCTATGTCTGTGTAGATTTATTGTACAATGCATGTTGTTTTGACGAGACTTTCTCTAAAACATGTTATATACAAATGACAAGCAGAATTTATCTGTAACAACTTATTGTAAATTTATACATAACATTGATTTATTCAACCGCTTGTTATTGTTTAAAAGTGGGAAGATATACACGATGAAATGTACATCGTGAGATATTGACAATAGTCTTAGATTTTAAGGCTGATATGTGCCGTTATTTTTTCTCTACAATTGTTATTGAATAAATTATGAAAACAAAATATGTTTTATCATCCTCCGACAACACTTTATCACCAACCTCACAAATATCACCAACTACGCCATCACCACTACAGAACCAACGCAACGACAGAACCCGACACCATCCTCTCCAACAGCACCATCATCATTACAGAACCGGTACCATCCTCGCCAACAGCACCATCACCTCTACAGAACCGGTACTATCCTCACCAACAGCACCATCACCTCTACAACACCGGTACCATCCTCACCAACAACACCATCATCATAACAAAACCGGTACCATCCTCACCAACAGCACTATCACCACTGTAGCACCAACGCAACGACAGGACCGACACCATCGTCACAAATAGCACTAACATCACCATTACAGAACCAGCATCAACCAATCTCACAAAAACTCGTCGCTCACCAACAGCACCATCACCTCTGCAGAACCGGTACTATACTCACCAACAGCACTATGACCTCTACAGAACCGGTACTATACTCACCAACAGCACCATCACCTCTACAGAACCGGTACTATACTCACCAACAGCACCATTACCTCTACAGAACCGGTACTATACTCACCAACAGCACCATCGCCTCTACAGAACCGGTACCATCCTCAACAACAGCACCATTACCTCTACAGAACCGGTACCATCCTCAACAACAGCACCATCACCTCTACAGAAACGGCACCAGCACCAGCAACATAGCATCACCACTATACAACCAACAACAAATACATCACCAACAACACCACCACTATACCACTTGTAGCAGCATCACCAATAACACTATCGCCACTATACAGCTAACAGCATCACCTTCATCATTATAACCCTAACAGATGAACTCCACCACTTACAGCACAATCTTAACGTACATCATACGACACAATTACAACGCCTTACTTCAACCAAAATCAACAACTTGTTGTATTGGTATAAAATTATTAAAAAGTTCATTACCATATCACAAGAATGGGACGACGATATTCCATAATTATCATCAAAACATAAATAACGCTCAACGACTGTGTAAGGCTAGTATTTGATTGGATCGGATTTTTTCTCAAATTATGAAATAATTCACAATTCAAAGTATTTACTTTTTCAATAAATTATTTTTTTTGAGACAATATTATCATGCAAATACCTTATATGCAAATAATTATGTTGTTGTGCATGTATGCCAATACAGTTAGATGTGCTAATCTTGTTCAAGATGTTCTTTATTTATTCTATGTAATAATAAGAATATTTAACTCAGATGTGAAAGAAGGATTATAGCAGTAAATAATGTCCTAATATCCGACAGATAAAGGCACATATTTCTGTAAGTATCCCGAAAACAAAACACATACCGTTATGAAAGCAAGTGTATGTATAAGAGTTATGTCCCTTTATGTGACACACAACTTGTTATTGTCAGTTTTGTTTACATTCAGGAAGTACTGATAAGGATGGGACTCTCTTGCAGTAGAAAATAAGAGATCTCGCACTAGCTACATTTTCTTCCTATTTTATTTCAATTTGAAAGAATTTATCACATGAATGACTGAAAGTCTGTTAATACAAATCAATATCGCATTCAATAAGACATAAATTTCAAGTCATTCAAAATTGGTCCCCACCTTAGGAGTCACCTCAGACGTAATATACTTCCCCTTGGTTAGCGTTGATTATCATACCCATTGACTTCAGTATTATAATCTACTTTTAGATATGATATCACATTAGCATCATTGTTTCCTTGTTGTTGTCAGCTCTGTTTACCGTTTATACCTGCTATAAACAGTCACACACCAAGCGTGGCTGGGGGTAAGCTGACTGGTGCTGTCGACCGTAGGACGGGTGCACACACAGTCCTGCCTTGTTGTATACATTACAGGAGGTGTCTGATACAGGCGTCGAAATAGTACAACACTCCAGTCTCATGACATGTACACACGTACTGTACATATCGTTACACTCCTTAACAAGTGCACGTTATCAAAGACGTATATTCATCTGTAGAAAATGACAGTCGTATATCTTTATGTTTTGTTTTTTATTCTGTTTTGCCTTGTTTAATTATCTTTTACACCTACAAGTCACACCTTCTATAAACGATGTTGAGACGCAGAAGTTGATGTTATGTCGGAAACATGGATGAATAGATAATGGAAACTTCCTATGTGTTATAGTAAAAAGAGAGAGAAAACAATAAACATGTATATCGATTGTCATGAACTATTCATTCTGCTGATATTTGCTTTTTCCGTATCATACGCTCAGTATTCATAATTTTTTTTTAACTAATTAGATATGAAACTTACACAAAATTATTCAATCCCACCAATGTGCAGTATAATGTACACCAGTTTATGTAAATGTGTCTGTTTACATGCAAATAAGGCTACTGTATAATTACTGAATGTTATGCCTGCATTATTGATATAAACGCTTCACTCTGTATCACAAAAACACGAACAATATCACACATTATTGACGAGCAATATTGATAATAAAAAAATATTTGTTTATATATAAATTAGTATTGGTAGAATATAGTGTTGATGACAACACAGATATATATATACACACACACACACACACACACACACACACACACACACCCGCATAAACAGTTTGTTTGCTTCTTTCATGTGTATGAATCATTTTAACACTATTGTTACATGTAGAAAATTGATGTAGTACGCTTATTAAATTGAACACTGCTTCAGGACACACTAGGAACGTTTTATGATCATCACAAAGATGAGTTTTTCTTTTGATTCTACACAATTTATCACTGATATTTTTATCATTAACAGTATTGTGAAAATAGGATTTTATGTTTGTATTCACCTGACAGCAATAGAACCGTCTAAAAATGTTAAAAATCTCATCAGATCCCAATATTTTACTGTTTTCAAGCTGCTTTTCATATCAATCATTATCAATTATTTCCTAGAGAGTCTTTGAAGTTATTTGTGTTTGATAATTGTTAGTATTGCAGCTTTCTAGCTCGATTAGCTCACTTCTCATTTTGACAACCTTACATTACTGACTTGGAATGACCATATGACTTTACATAGGAAGTATTGTCGACAAAGTAGAAGCCCCTAACCTTTTGAAACGCCTCATCTTACTATCCTTTAAAGTTTTTAATTGTGTAAATTGTTTCTTTTTCTTAATTTTTTAAAAAAAGTTTTCTTAATTTACCCTCGAACATTCTTCTGATGTTTTTGTTTTTCCTCCATGTTTAGTTAATGCAATCTCATCATAGAATATTATAATAAATAAACGCCTGTCAGAAATGCCTTGGGAATTCATTTTATCTAAATTAGATGTTCTGAAACGAAATGAAAATTTAATTGATTTCCTTAGCAAACATGATCAATTAGTACATTACTTATTGTTGATAAAATTTGAAAATAAATGACAAATTATAAGACTTAGCTAATTTCTCTCCTGCAGCGTTATACACGGTGGGTATGGGTATTTGTCAGGGACAAAACTAATTAATTACTGTGCTTGGACAAAAAAAGAACATTACAACAACTTATCATTACGAAATGGAAGCCATTTTAACATTGAAGGTAGCTAGTTGACTAGGCAAGATAACTTTAATGCACAAAAGCATAGCACGCATTATCATAGGTATGGTTTCTGCAATGTAAAGACATTGACGTAAACCTCATTTCATGGCAACAGCTAGTGACAAATTTCAGGGTAAACCCGGCTGAGAGTTCAGTTGTATTGTGTCTGGTGATTAAATATATAAACGGCAGAAAGACGCTCTCTCGAGTAACTTCACTGACTCACAGGAAAACACATCACTGATAAACAGTTAACCGAAAAACAAATATAACTTGATAATGAACAATGCTTACCAAGGAGACAGTAAATAGACAGAAATAAACATCAATAGCACTTGAAATCCGCCTTTTCCTGTGATGACACATTTTGTTGAATGCTATCTTTGGCTATTATGAAACGGATAAATGCGCATTAAAAGTGACAAACCGTTTTTTGTATATGATAGTGTATATCAAAACTCAAAAGCAATATAATGTTGTGAATCAACACATAAAGACAGTCTATCTTTATACAAATCAACCACGATTAGTAGGAGTTTTCTTCCTCAATTACATGTACCATCTCATAATGTGAGTTGTATATATATCATGTTGCAATGCAAGTTACCTTAATCAATTGTTTTAACTAATATGAGAGCTTCTTTTTTTCAAAATAAAATTAATAGGTAAAGTGAATTAGTGATGAATGCTTCCTGATAGATAGATCCAAATTTATATCGAAATGGAATAAAAATGCTAAATTAGGGGTTTGGCATATTGTAATTATAACTGACGTCAAAAACCCGATATATATCGGCTGGTACTGGGAGAGCTAAATCTCTTAAGTGTATTTTAATGACATCTAATGCATTTACTTACGTCTGTCGGTAATGTAGCTAATGAAAATAAGGTATCTGATTTCAATATTCAGTGTATTTCATGAATTTTTTGCTTCGTAAGAGAAAATGTGCACTAAAAAAGTTTCCTGTCAGTATTTATATCAATGTTGTATTTTGCGTTACATTTGATTTGATAAAGGTTATATCAACATGTTAGACGCCGTTTATGGATAAGAATAGCCAGATATGTAATTTGAAACTCCAACAATAAATCTAGCATTTTATAAACCTTGCAGCATGCATGATCGTGTGTTGTGTACTAAATCAAAATTGTATGTGCACTATTCCTCACTTCAATTGTCCGGGTTAAGGAATGATAGGAAAGTAACATAATCTGGCCAAGTCATAAAACATAAAAGATAATAACACGGGTTCTTTTTTGTAATCAACATTTTCCTGTTTAAACTGACGAAATAGGAAATCTTTAATATCGTTTTTTCTGGTTTTTTTTCTTCAAATAGTCTCCTGAAGACTCTTAAAAGGAAAAATGAACCACCCTACACGATATCTCATTAATCGTGTCCGGTTATTTCTACTTTATCAACATTGATATCGCATCATTGAAGTACGGAGGATATCCTTATATTTATCTCAGAATTTACAGTCTAATTGACTTTGTTATTGGGTTATGTAATCTTGTAAATATTTTTACAGTGTTTAATGTGTGTATCTGTCTCATCTTTCCGAATTAAAAAGCACAAAGTACTTACTTTTGGGAACGTAAGAATGTATTTTCATATATATGTAAGTACGTAGCATTATGTACGGGCAATGTCCAGTGTGATTCGTTTAACGAGACAAATGTTCGTTAATGACAAACTATTTTATAGTAAACATCATTAGTAGTACAGTAGTAAAGTAGTTATAAATTTTAAATATATGCTCAGTTGATTTCTATCGTGTATATACATATACTTTCGGCGTCTTCTAGAATCGGAGAAGAGTTTCACTCTTATTGTTAATTCCATGAGCCTGTCACGTGATTTTTCGAGGTAGCTAATAACTTTTGCAATGGTAAGCTTTACTGGAAAATTACAAGAAGACATACATCTTAACGACTTTAATTTGTGAACAGGTATTGATCGATTTTCATATTACGTTCAAGCTATAAAAAGATGTTGTCATCGCTGTTATTATTTTGAATTAATTTTTAATATAGAATAAAATATATTTTTTGTGTAACGTTTAAATAATTGAATGGTCAACTTCATCAGACAAATGACCAATATGAAACTTACCAGTGCTAACCTAAGTAGTTAAAACGTCACACCCAGATCTTCTATTGGTTGTGTTATAAGAACTTTTATTATAACATTAGTTTTGCGGCATGTAAGCTGCGACTGACCGATACTGGGACACATTTAAAAGATAAAGAGTTATGGCATTGTCCACTATTTTAGTTGAAATATACAATCAGTTTACACCTACGCCTACCGGTTGTCTTCAAAGTTGTTGGTATAAACAAACAGATTATCAAAGTGTATTAAAAACTATAGGGCTTTTGTATATAATGTTTTTCTTAGTTATTGTTTCTGATGTTTTCCTTGATATTACATAGAATTTGTTTTTCTTCATGATACATATCTGCATATGTGTGTATAGTGACATATTCTATTTCTCACGTTACTTGCTTATTCTACTGTTGTATGAGTGAAAGTAGAAACGCATATATGCTTTCATATTTGCACAACGTTATTCGAATAAATATTGTCAGACATTCAGTTCAGACAATAGAATTACAGAACTTAAATCGACCTACGTATATAGGCTTTTTTTTAACAATACTCAGATCACCCTATATTATTTCCGGGTACATAACATGATGTATTGCTCATAGAAGAAACAGCAAACAAAGACATTTGGCATTTATTTAAGACTTTTTTTATTTGTTCCGATCTCATTCGGTTTGATAACATTCTAAACATTCAAAAACATCTAGGCGTATACATTCAAACACATTCTTCTGAAGGTATAAACACATGCATACGATAACAAATGATCGACAAAATAATGCTTATCAAACAGATAAATACCGTCCATTCATACTTATCGTCAGATCGATAATACATGTCAAACATTTGTTTTACTTTCTAACATAAACAGTATGACTGTATGAATCAACATTATAACCCACACTACTTATCTCCTGTCACGTTCCTGTCTCTCGTACCAACACTCCCACTCTTGGCAGCAATGAGCAATAATGGCACATGTCTCGTTTTGACGTCTTTAAGTGGAATGACTCTTTCTTTCACTCACACATAGCTCCATAATACAACAGATTACTACTACATCACAATCTTAATCTTCTTCTGCATGTCCTTTTGGACCGTCTCTATTTCAATATTACAGTTAAAGAAATATTGTTCTCAATAATCCAATCTAACGATAAAATGAATGATATTCACTTTGGCAGTGATTGTAGCTCAATGTTTTTTATTACATATAATATGCAATGTCCTGTGACGTCTGGTTAGGACTACCTTGTGATTCCGTCCTATCTGTGATGGCACTTTGGTTCAATACAACTGTCTTCGGTAGTGATCTTGGATATCCTGGAAGCGGATCTCTGACAGCCTCGAGTTGCCTTTGGGACTTTGAAGGCCACTGAGTTAATCCTTAATATGGATACTGAGTATATCAGGATTAAATTCTGAGCATGAGTTAGGTGTCAGGCTCTCGTATTATAGCATCATAACACGATGAAATATACACAGAAGCTTTCCATTTATGTTCAAGACACAACGGAATGTTCGAAGCTTTCTGACTGAGAAAATTTCCATAATTTGATGTTTCTTCTGAAAATTTCTTCATCCGATTGATCGTCTGTTTCTGATATTTTAGCGATGAACAAGGATCTCGACGTTACGGAGGATAATGAGTCACTTAGGGTTTGATCTGAACTACAAAGACTGTCATCACTGTCAGAATCCATAAAACCCATGTCTTCAGTAGAACTGGAGGAATCTGAAAAAAACATCAAACATATCAATGTAAGTATTTAATCATTGTGTTTTCTTCTCTTCATTTCAAAATAACGTTATTGTTCTTTTTTTTCAACTGAGCTCATTTCTATAAATAATAACTGAAGGTTTATCTTGGTTAGTACCCACCAATACTGCCAAAAGAACTGCTGGAAGTCCATGTCATTCGTTTTTGTTGTATGTGTGAGGTGTTTTCGGGAATGGATTCATCACTATTCACAAATGCTCTTCGTCCGTTGACAAAGGATAATTTTTTCTTCAGTGGTCTGTGTGAACTTGGCCGTCGTTTAGCTAGACTCTGGATAGTGTCATTAATGTTGATGAGCTGTTTCATTAACATCACATCTTGTTGCCGTAGGTCAGCCTGGAAAGACAATAAAATAAAACTTAAAATAAAAGTCGAAATAATGTTACTTTTTCCAATTAAATTCAAAGTTTGCTTTCGTAGAGTATAACTTTAAGTCCAAAGTTATATTTCTTTGAATCGATTAATTTTTTTGGTCAAACTCGAATGAGAATAAAATTAAATAAAGTTTACTATTCCAGTCTCTAATGTTACATCAGAGGTTATTTAATACTGTTTGTACAGACAGATGACAACTAGAGACAAAATTTACCATTTCATTCCTCAGTGTCGCTAGCGCACTGTTAATTCTGTCAGTGGCAGTGGTGTTTGATGGAGCTGATGACAGTAAAGTTTCCATTGTAATCCTGTAGATTTTCTTACTCTATATGACACTAATATAAGGTACGTGTTACCGGTAATGTGTCGCGTTGAGAACTGATGATTTACCTGGGGCTTTCTCTCCTATATATACTACGGGACGTTAACACCTCACTACAAAGCACCAGGTGATCCGGCTATGCAAGCTACAATACACCTGTGCCAGGTAACGACAGGTAAACTGTCTGGTTGAATTAGGCTCTCTCTGATACCTCTCTCGTTGTGTTTTCTCCGTAATACAAGGTGATAAACCAAGGGGGTTTAGACAGTAGGAGTCAGACTTCGCTATGGTCTGAACAGCAATCTTAAAACACTAATCGGTCCTTGAACTTTGTGTTGCGAAGATGTTGACTTGATGAAAGATTAAATTTTTCATGCCAAACATTCCAAAAATGATATCTTAATGTTTTCCTTATCTGAACGTTTTTCACTTATTAAACTAATCATTAAATCATTATAGTCCCACATACAATAAAGGTCACTCACACACTAATACCTAATAAAGGGTAATAATGTTTGGAAATTGGTATCATATAAGAAGAAAACCGAACTGTATCTTTCTTCACGGACTGTACCGTGGAAATATAGAGTGGTTTTGAAAATGTGAATCTGTCAAAACAAGTGTGTGGAATTGCATACGAACAGTTTGGAAAATGAGAATCGGGATTAATATATGTGTGCAAATGAAGAGGGAAGGATAGTAAAATGTGAATAGGACGAACGAATGTGTGAAAATGTAGACAGACAGAAAAATGTAAAAAGGCTATAACAAATGTGTGGTATTGTAGACAGACAGTAAGGAAAATGTTAATCGGTCATAACAAATTTGTAGAAATGTAAACAGACAGGAAAATGTGAATCGGTCATAACAAATGTGTAGAAATGTAGACAGACAGAAAGAGGAGAATCAACCTTAATAGATTTATGTGAAATATAGAAACAGAGATAAACCAACCCCATGGATGCAATAGATTTGAAGGCAGATGATTCTACGAGTGTGAAGATGGAGTTTTTAATGTCTTGGCTCATTATATATTGCTGATCAGAAGTACACAGGATATGTTAAAAGAAGAAGAATATTACCTTGCACTTTTCACCATTTGAGTAATTATTTGAAACGGTACGATCACTGCACTTTTATGAATTATCTCACTCAGCATTTTATTCCTAGGGTTTTCCACTTTTATATTTACCTATTTGCACAGGTCTCTCATATTTTTTTTGACTTATCCATGACTCTGTTCTAACTATCTATAAATTTACTGTTTGAGATAGCACAGACTTATCATTCGGGGTATACTGTATATTGATTGTCATGTATCTTCTGTTACCTTGCATGCTATTAACAATGACTGAGTACACGAGACAAGCTATAAATTACTCTACTTTATTATTACTACAACCCATATCTTGAAACGCTAGTTACGCAACTGAAACTTTTGTCTGTTACCTTTGTCAGCCAAGTATCATTTTTAAAAGGAAATTATGTAATCTGGTTTTTCCTATGGAATATCCAAAACTTGTATTTTCCCACATAAAATTTATGTAATGCTCAATTTAAACATTACCCGAAAGATGATATTTATTTTGGATCAATTTACAACAGGATTCGATTGTTTTGTTAGCCGCATGTTATTTGATGTGATATTATTTCAAGCACAGTTATCGTGATTTCTTTCTTTAATTCGAGTAACATCGTGTGTATTACATCCTGGATACAACATGGGAAGTGTGTAAATAAATATTCATCATTGTACACGTTCTATGTCACATCAATGACTATTACTTATCATGGATTTCCTAATAATAAGGTGCCCACTGGTGTGAGTTCTAGGTCTTATACATGTTGTGGTTTGTCAGTGCGGGGGATTTGGTAATTCATTTGCAACACGTTTCACAGGTTTATGAAACAAATTATATATGCATTTAATTAGCATTTTGTTAACCACGATATTTAGTCACATGCAACAGGACACCACATCTCAGAGAACATTTTTTAATCATAATTATTCAACATGATTGATTGACTCATCTACTTGGCTGACCTACTCTATGCTCAGTGTAAGATATGACCTCAGTCATCAATTCTCCATACAATAGCCTTTGATGTTCAGCTCCAAGTTTTCCACAAGTTAATTGCTTTTCTTTCCTTAACTTTATTATGACATGTGTGTACGTCATATACTTTACCTTAAACAGGAAGGAAAAAATGACAATCGGAACTGACTTCCGGTTGCGGTTTCAGTGGCGCTTATTCCTGAAATCCTACAATAAACAAAATAGATTGTTAATATATTACTTCAGCCTATTTTCAAATTAATCATAAAGTTAACCAGCGACAGTAATGGCGAATGACATTTTTTCCAAATACAATTATTTTTATTATAGGTACTGTAAATCACGGTTCTTTCGCGAGAGATTATGTTTTCGTTTATTCGCGTGAAATCAAATCCCTCGCAAATTTTTACGTTTGCTGAAGTTGTCCTTAAAGAAATGACTTTTGTAGTGTGGTACCGGTGAAATCATATATTCACGAATAAGACAGTCACTTACCTTTCGCGAAATGAAATACTCGCTTAAAGAAAGTTATTTACAGTATTAGAAATTGAAACAAACAGCAAGATGATATTGTCAATCTATAAACATATTATGTTCAATCCTCGTTTTTAATTAAAACCCATTAAGATTTATACATGTTCAAAGAACAGATGCGTTTTTGTTCTAGGTGACATATTTTTCCAGAAAAAAATCTTTAAAACAAGAACCCGCCAAATCCCTTTGATGATATAAAAAGAACCTTCACATTCTTATAATAGAAAAACTGCAAATTCATATAGGTCTCAGTGTACCTGTTCAAAGGTGAGGCAAACGCGTTTGCAGAAATCGTACGAATTATTGTAATGATAAAATAACACGTGTGGATCTTCGTGGGAAGAAACATCATATCCCAGAAGTTGTTTTAGGATCACGAACGATTTATTGAGCATAACTTATCTAACGTTAAACAATATCTCAGATAGTGGTCGGTATTATAATCCATATAATATGTGGGTTCTTTCCTCATACTATTGCGTCAATACGTGGGGCAGAGCAAACAAGTGGCTATGCATGAATTAAAGATTAAAACATGATCCTCAATGCTTTAGAATTATTTAAGACCTTCTGGGAAAATAATTCTACCTCTGAAAAAAAATTAATTTAATTTCAGTCGTCACCAAATCACCTTTAATTATTTTATGAGGGATTGAGGGTGTGTTTGTTTCTTGTCTTTGTGTGTCGTCTTTCTTTGACCATCGCTTAATGAGCGATAGCTGGAGAGATAAAGCTTCTTTAATACTTAGAATTCCCTACGTCAACTGAGATATGTCCGAGACATTTTATATTCATATTTCTCAATTATGTATTCAAAACGCTAGCAATATCACGCCACAACGAAAGAAAATGTTGATATAATAGGAAAAAGTTTTTATATTCTTCAACGTCAAAATATTTTGTTGTGAATTTAAGTGTGTTCATCAGACATGTGGAAGTCGCACCTGTCATATTGTAAACATAAAACTAGTAAATAAGTGTTAACTAGTAAACAGGAGTTACATTAATTTCCATGGCACGTTTATTGTACATGGAGATGTACATATACATACATGTATTAAACGCATGGCTGACTATGGCAATAATAAGTTAATGAAGGAAAAAACATTAGCTTTTAACTTTTGAAGGTTGAAATGTGTATTAAGCCTGATGTAAGTTAAATGTCTAACGAATATCTGAAATGTTTTCAAGTGCCGATGCGTTAATCCAAATCCTCTTTTCAAAGATCTTTAATGTGATCCTTGAACGAAACATTCGCCATTTGTGATTCATGGCAAAATATTCATTAGGATATATCATGTAATTTATATGTGTGAGGTTATCATTCTTATTTATTTATTTTTCATATTTCTCAATTCTTGTGCCCATTTTTGTTAAAGCTTTTAAACAGACTTCATTAATATTTTCATAAACAAATCATAAATGTGAAAAAGAGTTTCAAAACACCCTTTATCTGCCTTAACTCATCAAGGTAGTGAACCAAGTGACCATCACTTATAAATCTAACATTGTTTGTTCATTTATTTTTCGTGTTGCGGCGTTAATAATGTCACGTGGTTTCGTATCATTCCACTCCTTGATGATTACAAAATAATGTGGCGGAAAAAACATTAATAGATGTATACAGACAAAAACGAAAGCAGCAAAAACTACAAACCAAATAGCATTTATGCTTGCTCGTCGCCATCTCATTCGGTGACTATAATTGTAGATGGTCCCGGTGTATTGTGACTTCACAATGATCCATGTTCCGGCGGCTGTTCCCATGACTGAAATAATCCAGTCGCATAAGATGAAAACTTTCGCTCAGTAATATCGGAGAGCTAATCAATATGACCCAAAATACTGGTGATATAGTTATATTAAAATGAACGGATTCACTGAATAGAGTTATGGTCGTTGTAATTACAAGATGTGTATTTTGCATATATCCTATGGAACTTTCATTGGTTTTATGAGATTTGCTAATAATTCACTTGCAATTACATCGTCTATAATATAATTTCATTCAGGATACTATTACCTCAATAACAATCACAATAACTTGAAGCGAAAGGTTACCAACTCGTAGATATCTTCTGCGTCATATACGGCACACGTTGTAGGACATTCTTTCTCCTACATAAATATTTTATTTTTCATGGAAATTTTGATTCTCCTATTTCCCATATTCATCATCTTCAACTATTTTCTTACTTTAGTGCTTGTTAGGAATTGGAAACTACTGGACCTTGACATCAAAGACATTACTTTCACCGCGAAGAAGACACTCATAATCTATACCCCTGACCGTTAAGTAAGTCGGGTCACAAAATCATTAGCCCTGGACGTGTTAATGTTTTAAACTATATGTTACAAGGTTTACTTTCCCGTGTAATTCCGTTGTTG